CTTCACAAAAACTACCATTTCATATTTAGGACTTAAAATCGAAAAAAAAACTGGTGGTGATGATCTTTTGAGCACAAAAGGCTACGCTCTATTTTTCATTTTGAATTATTGTGGCCTCAGAAAGACATTTTTTTGTTATTTTTTACCGTTTTTGTGAAAGCATTCAGATTTGCTCGAAGACTACCCTCCCAAATTTGAGTTTTAAGTATCAAAGAAAGAAAGAGATTTGGGAATATTCCCGGAGTAAGCGGCTACGCCCCAATTTTGGAAAAAAAAAGATGGTAAATTCCGAAAAGTTTTGATCGTTTTTTTGGAAAGTTTTTTTTCTCGAAAACTACTCTGCGTTATCTGATATCAAGGGTTTAATCGATATAGAGGGTTCATACAATCATTGTTGCACTGGCTTTTGTAGCTTCATTTTTGTAAGAAACAATCACTTACCTTGGGAAAAGTTAAACATTTTATAATTTGACCGGTTTTGGAAACTGGGAAATTGACTTTTCTCAAAAAATATCCCGCTAATTCTTAGGTTAAGGATTCTATCGAGAAGCTCGTTTGTTTGAATTTTCTCTGCATAATCGGCTACACCATAGTTTTAGTAGAAAAAATGAGAATTTTTTCACTTGCGATTAGCAAGCTTTAACAGATCGGAATATATACTTTTTCCGGTTAACAAATTATTTATCAGAATCACTTGGTATCTTGGTTCATAATGAATTCAAGTTTCTAAGCGTTTCCGTTACACTTAGTGTGGAGGCAACGAATACGCTCTGGACGCCAAAGGTCCTAGGTGTGACTCTGACCAGGGCCTGTTTTTTAAAGCAAAATTTCATTTCAAAAAATTTTCGGCTTATGTTTTGTCGGCTTTTTTGCCACAGCTCATGAGATTTTCTGCTACATGCAGTTCTCAATTTAGTTTCTTTCTTATGCTTTCATTTACCTCTGCAATTTATAATTCTTCTAACCTTGACTTCGTATTTACTCCATTGTGTAAATGGATTTTTTTCGTAATCTACTTTACCAATTTTCAAACAGATGGTATCACTTGAAAGACTGGCTAATTTTTGTGTGTCTGCGTTTTTCCCCAGTCTCTGCTTACCTTGCTCGACCAAGTTGTGGCCTCAAAAAGGCCATTTTTTGACACTTTGGTCATGTTTGAAATTTTCTGACTTCACAAAAACTACCATTTCAAATTTAGGACTTAAAATCGAAAAAAAAACTGGTGGTGATGATCTTTTGAGCACAAAAGGCTATGCTCTATTTTTCATTTTGAATTATTGTGGCCTCAGAAAGACATTTTTTTGTTATTTTTTACCGTTTTTGTGAAAGCATTCAGATTTGCTCGAAGACTACCCTCCCAAATTTGAGTTTTAAGTATCAAAGAAAGAAAGAGATTTGGGAATATTCCCGGAGTAAGCGGCTACGCCCCAATTTTGGAAAAAAAAAGATGGTAAATTCCGAAAAGTTTTGATCGTTTTTTTGGAAAGTTTTTTTTCTCGAAAACTACTCTGCGTTATCTGATATCAAGGGTTTAATCGATATAGAGGGTTCATACAATCATTGTTGCACTGGCTTTTGTAGCTTCATTTTTGTAAGAACCAATCACTTACCTTGGGAAAAGTTAAACATTTTATAATTTGACCGTTTTTGGAAACTGGGAAATTGACTTTTCTCAAAAAATATCCCGCTAATTCTTAGGTTAAGGATTCTATCGAGAAGCTCGTTTGTTTGAATTTTCTCTGCATAATCGGCTACACCATAGTTTTAGTAGAAAAAATGAGAATTTTTTCACTTGCGATTAGCAAGCTTTAACAGATCGGAATATATACTTTTTCCGGTTAACAAATTATTTATCAGAATCACTTGGTATCTTGGTTCATAATGAATTCAAGTTTCTAAGCGTTTCCGTTACACTTAGTGTGGAGGCAACGAATACGCTCTGGACGCCAAAGGTCCTAGGTGTGACTCTGACCAGGGCCTGTTTTTTAAAGCAAAATTTCGTTTCAAAAAATTTTCGGCTTATGTTTTGTCGGCTTTTTTGCCACAGCTCATGAGATTTTCTGCTACATGCAGTTCTCAATTTAGTTTCTTTCTTATGCTTTCATTTACCTCTGCGATTTATAATTCTTCTAACCTTGACTTCGTATTTACTCCATTTTAGATTTTTTCGCTTATAAAAATTTCCCGGACGAATTGATTTCGGCTGATATTTTATGGGCTTACTCACCTATTCTTGGGTCGTTCAGTGGAACCATCATTTGTATGCTTTCCTCTGGATTGCACAACACGTTAAAAATCTCAAAATTGAATTTTTAGTTCAAAGTTTTGCTTGGAAACAATTTTATTTTTGCTCAAATTTTTTTTGGCTCTTAATAAACGCCGCTTAATGTGTTTCTGGATGTGTTTTCCGCAAATAGAACATCCTTCCAGACAACGTGTCCAAGTTTTTGAGTGGCTTCTTCAAAAAATGTTCCGTTTTCGTTGACTTTGTGGCTCTGTTTTTTTTCTGTCTGCTAGCTTGCACTGGCATGGACTTTCGGCTGTTTTTTTTGGAAACCGTTTATGGACTGTTCTCAAAAATGTTTCTACCAATTTCAACATTTTTGGTTCAATTGAAAAAACTTATTTTGGGCTGCTTCGCTGCTTAATTTGGTAAGTCCTTATTTTTGTAGAAAAAAACTAGTCTCTGGAAAAATTCATATTTTTCATTTTTTTTTGAAGTTTTCGATTTTTTTTCTCAAAATGTTTTTAAAAAACTATCCTGCCAAACCTGAGATTGGGGTTGAGTCTGAGGAACAGGAGAAATTCCGTGCCCTAATTTTTTAATGATATAAAAGTTATGGCCTTAGGAGAAGTCCTATGTCTGAAATTTACAACGTTTCTGCAATTTTTTTGATCTCGAAACTTACCCTGCCATATCTGAGACTTCGAGTTCAATAAAAAAATACTGGTGATAGAAATCTTTCCTGTATAAGTTTCTCCGCGATAATAGGCTCAATCAAATTAACAGCCTGTGTGAATCTTCACTGTTGAAGCAGCTACGACTTGTTTTCGTAGAAAACTGTAATGAAGAATAATCAAATTTTGATCGTTTTGGAAACTTTTTTCCTTTCTGAATTATTGCTCTGCCAATTCTGAGGTTATTAAGATTTAATTCAAAATATATGACTCAAAGATATTTTCTACATAAACTTAACAACCGATTGTTTGTAGAAAAGCAGGCATTGTTTAGGAAAAGTACGTTTTTAAAATATTTATCGATTTTTTTCTGAAGTTTTTTTTCTACATGAACTTCTCCAAATCTGATGTTAATATCAACTGAAAGAGCGAAAAATAAACTCTTTTCTGTATAAGCGAAAAATAACTTATTTGACTAGAAACCACTAGTATGAGCTTGACGCATTACAACCCGCATCAGTGCATATTTTGTAAAGACTCTTCAAATTTCATAGCTCAAAGTTTAAATATCACAGCAGTTTTTCGACACAAATTGCTTTGCTTTGTTGCCGCTCGGTAATCACTTTTTTTTCATGTTATTTTAAGCAATTTTTTAAACTTCTTTTTTCAGAAAAAAGTCCGACTTCAGTCTCTTTTTCAAATAGGAAGTGCTGCAAAGCTGCTCCGCTTGGCCTTTGAATTTAGTTTGCGGTTTACTAGGTTATCAAATCGGGCATACACTTTTTCAATACAACTTGCGTGAAACAGAATCAGCATATCGATTTTTGATGCTATTTGGAATTCATCGAAAACAAAAACGATTGAACAGTTCGAGTAAAAACTGGCAATTCTCTGCAAAGACGTGAAAAGAAAAAGACGTGTAATAATTTTTTTTGCAACAGTCGAGGTTTTGGTCTCAATTATTGGCGATTTTTTAATCTATATAATTCACGCGCTGATTTTTCCTCAATTGTGCTTGATAATTTGGTCGTCAAGCATAAAATCGAAATACACCTAATATCTTAATCTTGAGGCTAAATGGCTTTTGCAAAATGGCAATGACACAATGTCACCAGAAGTTACCAGCAATTCTAATTTCAAAGTGATCCCTTAATGGCTTTTTTCTCCCCGTCTAATTTCTACAAGTCACTGATGACCTCAGATTTATAATCGGAAATGAGAGTAAAAAATTGGTGACGTCAGGCAATCGAATCTTGTTTTTTTTTCTTTTGTGACTGATTGTGAATAGGTAGATTATTTGTATTTTTATTACAAAAAGTATGCTGCCATAGAACAAAATGGTATAAAAATAAGCTACCATATAAACCAACCAAAAACACCGAGCACGTATTTAATTGTTATATAACAAGTATCTAAGAGTTTCTAAAATCATGAAAATTTGAACTGAATCGTCAGCTATTTTTTTTTATTTGGCTGATTTTTTCATGCTGCAATTTATTATGGTGAAGGGAGGGTATAAATGGCTTTATTCTTCGGATGGTTTGATCTTTAAAAAAGTCAGAGTTGATTAAAGACAGCGTTATTGACGTAAGCTTGGGAGATTGACAAAAGGCTATAATGAGTTCTGAGGCTTGTTTTTCTCTGTTGGGTAAGTTTCTGAGAGGTCTATTGATGGCCTGGTTTAATGAGCTATTTTAGCCCCTGTTAAAAATGTTTTTTTTTTGTCTCAGTTTTTACTAGCCTTTGTTAACATTTGAAGCCGTGGTTTCTTATCTTCAAAATAATAACGATTTGGACATTATCAGATTTTCATTGAAGATTGAAAAAAAATTGAATTGAATAGTTGAACAATTAGTTTCGACCTTTTGAACTTTTTACCACAGCTTAATGGCCTTTAATGTTGTGATGTTTTTGAATACCTGATTTAGAACGTCGATAACCTCATCTTTTGGAATTTAGCAACACTTTTTGATAACTTATTTTGTTATCGGGATCTCGATTTCCCCTTGTCACTTATTTATAAGGTCCACCCCTCTATATATGACTAATTCAGTTATTAATCATATGCGGATTTTTTACGGTCTTTTTGAAATGGGGGAGGAAGTTGTTTAATGAGATCCTGGTATCGATTTAATTGGGTTATCTTATTCAGATAGTCATGTTGTGACCTTTTCTACCCATAATTTAACTCCCAACCATTCCATTGCGGTCCATGATGGATGAAAACAGTGCGGACAATTTGTCCTATCTGGGCACTGTGACTCTGACGCCCTACCACACGCAGACCATGCTGCCCTGGATCCTCGCAGAGATGCAGAGTAGAAGCACGGAGGCTGGCGCTAAAATAGACTGCACCCTGGACTTCGATGAAACCAATGTCAAAGTGAGTGACAAACATTTAGACATCTGATAACATCAGTATTTGGATCATTGGTTTCGGGAAGGGGCAGGGCGATTCACTGTCTACCCTAATAGTTCCCCTTTTCGTACTACATTGTCGCATCCATTTTTCGGCTTTGACTCTGACTCCAAAAATTTTCAATGTTTTTGTCTGCTTGAGTTGTAAGTTAATGGTATTGATTTTGTCCGTAATGTTTACACTTGCGAGATTGCGAGCGTTAGTGTATTAGTACGAACCTCCTTTTTTGTAACCTAACTCGCAAATAAAAGTGTTCAAAAACGTGTTCTATTTTTTGGTGGCCATTTTGCTGTAGTCACGATCTGTAGCATTGGAAATCTCCTAGCATCTGTTCTCTGCTTTATGTGTGGCGAGTGCTTGAGTGTGAGGCAACGTTACCCAGCCCAGAAAACTAGCCGAAAAAAACTTGCGTGTAATTCTTAAGCAGGGGCACAACAGCGGTTCTCCGTGAAGAGCTGAACAAATCGTATATTGGTTTCTTCACTTGTGGATAAATTGTCTCTAAGCTATTATTCTTCCGACTTCCGAAGAAGTAACAAAATTTTTGAGTAGTTTCTTCTTAGTCGATATTAAAACGAAGTTTCTGACGGAGTTTGCTTATACCTTAAAAGTTTTAAAAATAGTTTTTTTTGTTATGTTTTAACCTGCTAATTTGGCGTAATTAAACGTGCGATATATTTTGTTCTAACGTGTAAGTGGCAAATCAATCCGGCTGAGAAATTGCTTCAAGTTGAATTGCGGTAAGCCATTTGATTTTGCTACTTTATTTGATACATATCGCGTGGGAGAAAGATTTTTTCATAGTCAGTAAATTTTTTCTAGAACTTCATTTTTCTTGCAAACGGAGTGGAACGTCTTTTTGTCAACTTCGATCAATTACGTTGCTTCAATAAATAGTTTGAAAGTATTGATATACCAAACCAATTTTTACCATGCTTGTGTAATCTTTCATTTTTTAAAGTCAAAGGAATCCTTTTGAAAGATTTTTCTGTACAAATCTAGGAATTTAAGGAAAAGTTTAATGCATCCATTGATGAATTTTTTTCCAGGTCATCACTGGTCTGATCCTATTATCCCCACTTCGTTCTAAAAAGTCCGTTAGCGATAAGTTAGGTAACTACCTAGCAACTTTGAGCATCGCTTTAAAGGTTTTCTAGAGTAAACGGGGTTCGGAAAAGCTCCACGTTGCTTATAAAGTATCTTAGGTTTGTTCATGTTTTGTACAGCCGTAGGACTAAATTACCCTCTTTTTAGTTCGAAATCTCCTATGTTCAAATGAAAGATAACTAACAGGAAAAAAATCAAACAAAGAACAAGACTGTTCGTATCAGGGCAAAGCTCTGAAGAACGTCCCGACTGCCCTCGATCGTCAATCACAAGCTTTTTGATTCTAAAAAGTACTGCTAAAATGTTTGATAAATAATTAGAAATATTCGAATAGCTTTTGATATTATTTATGTTTTTGATCACTCTCACTAGATATCTAAGGTACCTAGTGGTATATTTTGCGCGGGGTGAGGGACTATTAAGAGCAAATTGCTTGCCTTAGTTTAATTGGTAGGATTTAATTTTCCGCTTACGCTTAATTAGATTTGTTAATTATCCCGATTTGAATTATAGTCGTCAAAGTAATCCCAAGTTTAAACCATTATAATTTAGCGAGAAATGATTACAGTTAAAATATATTTTTTTAACATTCGAGCTCAGGACAACAATATCTTCCAGATGGCAAAAAAATTGTCAAAAACGCTTAGTTAAAAAATCGGAATAAAAAATCGCGCCAAGCATAAACTTTCCGTACTTTTTTCGGAAGTCGGAACAATTGGAAGATTCAAAGCTAAAAATAGTAAAAAGGGTTGTTTAACAGCTATGGCTTTGAGGTCGTCTAACTGTTTTTAGTTAGCAGCAGAGAATACTGTATTTTTTTGATCTGCCAAAGTTTTCCTCCTTTCTTGAGTGTACATTTTTCCCTATATGCATTTGAGAAAAAATAAATGATTGCGACTGCTAGCACGGAATGTTCTCTATGAATTCCATATATCTAGTTTTAGGGGTAGAGGTTCTTTACTAGATATCATAGGCGGAGGGGCGTTGGAAAATAGTAAAAGAGATGCCTGAGTTGTAATAGGTACCTTTTGAAAAGTAAAATGGCGTTGTGGCGCACTGGTAGTGATGGTGCCCCTCAATTATATGGTTACAGGATCCAATCGCACTTGCGCTGCAATTACAAGGTGAGCTTTCGTAAGATCGCATAGCTTGGTTAACCTTAAGTAATTAACTTTCGGGTTAGGCCTCTGGCTGGTTAACTAAAAATTAAAGAAACCAAATGTTATTTTGTTCAGGCGGTGTCTCAAGATGACGGGACAGTAGTGTTGTCTCATCCAATTCTCTCCATTTCTCGATTCGTACATCCGAGAACAGAAAGTGTGGGCTCAGGCGGAAACTCCAAGTTCCCGTCGTTCGCCTACATTGAACGAGATTTACACAATGGAAACTCGTACAAGATTCATGCGTTTCAATGCTTCAATAAGTCACAGGTTAGAACGCAAGGCGTGCGACCAACAAGCCGATAGTTTTTATTTCATACTCTTCAGTGAACTAGACAAGTTTCATAATTCTTAATTATGTTTGACTGAAAAATATTTGGTTTTGAAATACTCTTTCGTATTTCAAACCTGAGTTATCCATAGGCCGCAGATAAGTTTTGGGACACTTGTTGAAACTTTAAGCAAATAGAACGAAGTAGATAATAATTTGTCTGCATACTGGACTGTCTGTTTACTAGTACGTCTGCAATTTAATTGTTCAAAACTTTGTTTTGTTTAATTATTGTTCGGCATGATTTTATTTGTCCTTATTTGAACTGGTGTCGAAATATTTGCCCAGGCGACAAATATTTTCGAAATTTATTTGAGGTGATTGTTTGTCGCTGGCTATTATTGCAGTTTCTTTGATATTTTTTTTGTCAAGTTCAAGGTTCAAATTACATGAAGTGTGTTCAGACTTGGCTTTTGGTCTTTTGTAGGTTATTATCTGATTTGGATCTTAATTGAATTGGATAAATTATTTATTTACTTGCAAGCGTAAATTAATGTTTGCACGATATTCAGCCACTCTTGTTTTATTTTGCACCACACTAAATTCTCTATGTCATCGGAAGCATCGTTTCATCAATTTTATTTTATTTCTAACTTCGGCATCTATAAAACTGATCGATACATAATTTGTCTTCTGGTTGAATTTCCAGATCTTTCGAACAACATAATTCTGTGAGGCATAAAATTTGAAGACAACAATAAAAAAAAAGACTCGGACGCTTTTGTCTCGTATACAATTGTCGAACCATTACTTACCTATCGGAAATTTCGCGTGGATCACAATTTTCCCAGAACAGAATGACAGAAATATTTTTGTACTTATCCTTTGATGTTTGTTTTTCTTAGATCGAATCATACGTGAAGCTGTTGAACAGTGCTCTGGAAGGCGCGTTTGCTTTGAAGTCGGAACGCGAAATATCTGGCAACGATTTCCAGTCGGCTCTGACCAACTCAGTGTTTAAATTAGTGGCTGTAGGACCTGTGAATACGAAAACACTGACATCTCTGAACGTAGACGAAATTATAACTAGCCGGTGAGCATTATCTTTTCAGTAATGTCATGTTATGTTTTAAGAGTGAGTTTTTGAAATCAAGAGAAACCTTCGGTTCTTCGTAAGGAGCCAGCCAGTTTTTTTTATTGTTTTCAAACCGTTTTTCTCGACACAATGGCGTCCGAACATTTTGATTAGAGCTCGAATCATGACTGAAAGGGTGTTAATTGGCGATGTATCACTTGGTCCCATCTGAAGTTTATTTAAGCTTCCGGATTTTGCTACCGGTTCTTTCTATTCATTGTGTACTTCAGGAAAATCTCAAAACCCGACGCTAATTTTTCGGCAATACGTTCGGCATTAAGTTTTGATTCTGAGACGAGGAATTTCTCTGGAGTTTTTGAGACCAGGAATTTTTACGGATGTTTCAAGACAAGCAATGTATGTATTCTATTAGTATCCGAATATCCGATAACTCTCCGGTTTTTACTGACTTGTGTTTACATAGACTGCCCGGCGGACCGAAGAACTTCCAGATTGTGACTCACTTGCGAATGATGGAAGTGGCCACTTACATCAGGACGGGCTCAGACCACTTTTACATTGTGAGCAGCTACAACACAGCCAAACAGACAGTGGTGGCCAGGAGATACACTGACGTCACAGGATGCTCATTGGTAAGATAAATTGTTGAAAGTTAAGTAGGAGTGAAGGTGAAGTAGCTAGTATGTCCGCCTTGCAATCAATAGATTGCCGGTTCGAGGTTCATCGTGATCCCATTTCGTTGTTTGAGGGTGACTCATAATTTTCCAATTTGATAAAACAGCAGTTGCGAAGGTGAAGTAGCTAGTGTGTCCGCCTCGCAATCAAGAGATTGTCGGTTCGAGGCTCATCGTGATCCCATCTCGTTGCTTGAGTGTGAATCAACATTTCCCAATTCAATATCATTAAGAAAAGATTGCATGTACAGAATTCCAATGAGCTTTTTTGCCGCTGTTTGTTTTTTGTGTTTGCGCGGTAAAATAACGCATTTGTAAGTTTTTTCTCAGAGCTCCAATACTTTAGGCAAAACATAGCTGATTATTTAATGCTCATTGGACGGTTTTTATATCCTGGACGATCTTGAAAACGCATTCTAAAGAATTTGGCTAAATCTCCCTTCAAATTGAAATTAATTGAGGAAACTGAAATTTTTGATGGGAGCTTAGTCGTATTTCAACTAATTAAGAGTCGATGAACGCAGTTCAGGCTCTTATATAGGTCGCTATGATTTCCCCTTCTTTCAGCAAAAGTGTTAAAGTTTTTTCAGCCCATATTAATTTTTTGCGGTTTAACTTTTTTTTTAAGTTCGGTTAATTTCCTTTCTTGAAAAGGCAAACTCAACTATCGAACAGAAAAGTGTAAAGGTCACGAAAAACGTGTTTGACTTCTACTTTCGAAAAAAGAATTTAATTTTCAAATTTTCCAGCGAAGTAAAAATTTTGCTTATTGATCCAGTTTTCTCAAATTGGGTTATTTTTTTATCAAAAAAAGTGTCTATCATAAATTGTTGAACAAGTTTAAAGAGTTTTAAGACCATCAATTTTCAGTTTCCTTGCGTTCATCACTCTTCTCCAACTGTCAGTTGGCTGCTTAGATTTTGTTTGAAACTTTGATTTTGTTTTTCTATTTTTTATCGAAGAGAATTAATTACGGCTTCATTTAGTATCACTTTCGAATATGCTTAGGTTCTAGGCTTGGTTTTGGTTCCTTGTTTCAAATAATGCCGGTTAGATTTTTGCATTAAAGTGCATATGGGAAACTCCGTTGGAGAAGCGGGAAGAGGTTGCTTTTGTCGAAAAAGTTAGGCCTGTATTTTTTTGCCGAAGGGTTTCCGATTTTTTTCCGAAATTTTTTTCTACTTGGTATTGAAATTGGTACTTATGAAAGTTGTTTACGCTCAATTTTTACGTTTCATAGTTCGAATTTTGATATCTTAGCAAGATCAATTCAAATTGCTTAAAGGAAGACATTTTAAGTTGCAATTTATGCTCTCCAATAACAAGGATGATTTAACTGCAGATTTAACAAATTGTCTATTGATTCAGCTTCATCAAATTGGGTTAGTTTAATCAAAAACGTGTCAATGATAACAGATTTGTGAAATTCAAAACTTTGAAGGTCATTCAAGTTTTTGTCTAAATTATTGACTCCTTTCCAATTGTCTGTTGGCTGGGTTTTTTTAAAAGTTGCAATGGGTTTCTTGGAATTGTGTTTAAAATTTCTTGTTCGCAATTTTTTGATTCGTATGGCTGGGAATTAACCTAAATAGGCTATTTTCATCTTTCTAATATTTCTTAATAGTTTTATAGCTTTAGATTTTTGTTCATGAATTGCAAGTGATGCGTTGTTTCGCTTCTGTTCTCCAAAAACAATTACTGTCGTCTCTGATCTTTCAAAAAACATCACTTAGTTTGGGGGTCAACCAGAGTGTCTTTCTGATGACTCGTTTCAAGCCTTGCCACAATGTTTCTTCTATCAAAATGAAAATTAGTATCTGTTTCTAGGTGTGTTTCCAATTTCTGATTTTTGGAGCTTATTGATGTGAACGCCTTAACACTAAGTAGTGGTCCTCGCCTGGATACGTTTAAAAGTCGATGGACGCAGTAATTTTTTCCTGCTTCTTCGAGTTCATTGACTCTTTTCAACTGTCTGTCATGGGTGGCTAGTGTTCGTTCATTCCCAATCGATGCTGGCGCAGATGCGAGGACGTAAGACTCGTAATCTACAATTCTGGGTTGGAATTCCTGCACATTGAAATTGTTTTATTTTTATTTGCCAGCAGTTTTGCTGCATAGCATTGGCAATTTAATAGCAACTGTAGCTGTTTTATTGACACCCAGTTTTAGCAAATTTTTAAGGGGACCTTGGCGCAAATCCGAGGACGTGAGACGCCAACTCTTGATACGGAGGTTCGAAAATAGCAAAAAGTTTTGCTATTCTAGGCGTTTTTTTTTTACCTTTTCTTATTTTTTTAGAACTGCTTTTTTTTCGTTTTCTCGCTTGTTTGCGATTTGCAGCTTCGACTCTGTGAAAAACCAAATTTTTAGGAAGGTCATCAAATAAATATTGTTGCAAACTATCAGAGTAAGCATGTGCGTTTTCCTCATTCACAAAAAATACACCATGGAAAGTTTTTAGATTTTGAAAATTTTGACAAAGGACGCTTGTGCCGAATTATCTTTGCTGAAAATATACCACGGCCAAGAAAAATATGTTTTCTTACGTGTTAATGAACATAGTGAAGGCATTTGTATAGGTCGTTTTTAAGAGTAATGAACGCAGTGAGAACTCTTATATAGGTCTTGCTAATTTTTTTTTCAGGAAAAGTCTTCAAATTTGTTCACGCTCAGTTATGATTTTTCGCGGTTTGATTTGTGATTTCTTTTTAAATTCAGTGCATTTCCATTGTTGAAAGGAAGGCAAAATCAACTATCTAACAGCAAAAATATGAAGGCCAAAGTGATGAAAAACGTGATTATTATCAGATATCCCAGTGAAATGAAAGTTTTGCCTATTGATCCAGTTTTCTCAAATTGGGTTAATTTTAACAAAAAAGTGTCTATCGTAAATTGTTCTACAAATTAAAAGAGCTTTAAGGCCATCTATTTTTTTCTCGAAATTCAAAAGTGGAATGTTTTTGAAAAAGAAACAAGTCAGTTTTTGTTTCAGTTTCATTGCGTTCATTACTCTTTTCCAACTGTCAGTTGGCCGTTTTTTTTTGTTTTGTTATCAGGAAAATGATCAAAAATTGTTCTTGCTCGTGAAAAACGAGCAAGAACATTATTGATTAAATTATTGATTGATACAGTTTTCGCGAATTGGCAAATTGGGTGAATTTTATCAAAAAAGTGTCAATTATAAATTGTTCTTCAAATTCAACGAGCTTTTAGGGTATCTGTTTTTTCTTCGAAATTCGACAATTGAGATTTTTTCAGAAAACAAGTCAGATCTTCTTTTCGGTTTACTTGGTTTCATTCACTGTTTTTCTATTGTCTGTTTTTACTTGGGTCTGTTGGCTGTTTCAAGCTAATTGCCAATATTTGTTAGCGTTTTTCGACTATGTGCTTAATGCAGAAACAGGGGCATGGATTTTAAGAAATACAGAATTGTAAAGAGAAAATTTTGGGGTAAAAGACCTTGAAAGATGATTAAAAGAGTTTTCAGACGTGTCCTTTGGTGCGTGTAATTACATTGGCAAGAGGATATAGTTTCCAGGGTAATCTGAGATCTTTTATGAGAATTAAAACCGTTTTAAGCTTAAATCGCTAATGAAGTACCGGGAACTAGGGCAATTTGCATTAACCCTCCGCTCCGCCTACACTCTTACAGTGATGTTAAATGATTTACAAAATTGTGTTTTATATGTTTCACTGGATTTTTCATCAAAAAAGAAACGCACAAGCAGTATTGATAGTCACATTTTCATGATTTATTATTGATTCATCTGCCATGAATAATCGCCAAAAGGAAGTTGGCTTAGCAGTGATTCAAAAGAGAAAAGCAGCCGTTTCATCAATGGCTGGAAATTAATTTCGGGATGCAAAGGTGGGCTTAATTAACTACAAATTTTCGAAAACTTGGGGTCAAAAGAATGTCTGGAGGGTATGGTGATATTGTATCTTCTTTCAAAAGTTCAAATCATCACCACTCAAAAAGGGTAGCTCCTAAGATCAGATCAGTTGTTTTATTATATTAAGAAACCATGCGTTGAATTGGCATTTAAAATCTCATCGAAAAAGTGAATATAAAAGTTCATTCTGAGACCAATTTTGGCAGATAGAGCGAACATTTTTTATTATTCCGACCATTGAAAATGGGGAGGAACTTTGTATTCGGGTGTTAGTTTTTCCACGCAAAATCAGGTACTACAAATAATCATCGGACTGGGTTAAGTGATATATCATTTTAAAGCCCTTAAAGTCGAGATTCGAACCACATTTAAAAATTTTAAAATAGGTTTCCTAGTGTCGAGAAAAACCGGTTTGAAATTTTTTATTTTTCGTGTTATTTCCTGCAAACAAAGGGGGCGAGCAGTTTTATTTTTATTAATTAATTGCTTAAAACCTTACAATAGCTTAATTAAAAACGTAAAAACATAGTCTTGGTTGTATTTTTTAAAACTATGGTCGAAACACTCTGTGCTTCATGCACAGTAACCGGCTATCCTTGTTTTTTTTTGTTTTCCAAGCAAAATCAGGTACCACAAATAGTGACTGGAATGGGTCGAGTGATATATCATACAAAAGCGATTTCAATCGTGATTCGAACGACATTAAAAAAAATTTTAAGTTGTCCCAGTGTCGAGAAAAGCTGGTTTAAATTTTTAAATTTCGAGCGAGAGAAGCGATCGATTAAATTTCGTTATATGTAAATTTGACTTTTTTTGGCTTTGAGGCTAAGCAAACTTTATTTTACTAAAAAGAAAATTAAACCTTGTTTTCTAAAAGAAAATAAAAATATTGCAATTTTTTTTTCATTTTCTTGTTTGTTCATTTTTTGAAGACAGGACGATTATGCCTAATTTACCAACTTTCCACGCTTTTTGTATAGTTCTCCTATCACACGATGCACTTAAGTTTTTTTTAATGATGGTGATCGGAACCTTCTCTGCTACTTGCACAGCAACAAGCTATTCTTGTAATTTTCAAAAAAAAAAACATATTCCTTGTCAATTAAAAAAACATCCCGTTCCTTGTCAAAAAACATAATTGTCAAATGTTGCTTGTTTTCATTGTGGCTTAAGTTCTTTTGTTATTTCAGGGCAAGACATACAGCGATGGAATGGCCATTGTGTGCAGGGAGAACAACACTTTCGTGTGCTACTGTTTAGTCAACGATGACTCAGAAATTGTGAGTAGAATCAACTCATTTCCATTATAGTACGTCTGATCTCTCTCTCTCTCTCTGAACGAAAAACGGTAGGAAGGCTTAGATAGTTTTGAGGGTGAAATTTTTGAGGGGTTGGAAGAGTGATTGTTTTTATAGTTTTGAGTGTTCATAAATTTTCGAGGGGTTCGGGTTGTATAAATGGGAAAAGCCGCTGAGCAGAATCTGAGCTTGAAACCATTCTTCCTAATTGAACTAACTTGTAGCAGTTGTCACTGTATCATAATTCTGTCAGAGGGTGTTAACATGATCCATATGTTGACCAAAACAAGCACTCAAAGCAAATCATTACCTTGATGTAATTATGTCTATCATGTAAAGTTGATAATAAAAGGTTCTTTGTTATTCACCTTCATAATTATGGGCCGTTTCTGTGTAATTGACGGAAAAATCAAGTAACTCGATAAGACAGAAATTTTGATTGATGAGAATATATTATCAAGGGTCAATGAACGAAGTTAGGACATCTAATTAGCCGTGCTGATTATTCAGGGATTTTTTAAAGTTCAATTCAAGTTCATTTGCTAGAAGGAAGGCAAATTACGCACTCAAATTACGAAGTGCAAATGCGCTAAGAAAGTGAATGATTTGATATTCAAAAGTGGATTTAATCAAAAGATTTTGGAGTTTTTGTAAAAAAAAAATTTGAGCCAGTTGTCTCTAATTGGATTTGATCCATCGAAAAACTTTGATTCATTTTTTTTTAGGTTCACAGAGCTTAAGGTGACATATTTATATCTTTGAAATTCGAATATGATTTTTTTTGAAATCAGAATTTGGTTTAATTCTTAAGCTCATGGACACTTCCAACTGCCTATAGGCTGTTTTTTTTTAAATTATAAGCCACTTTTTTCTTTGAATGAGCTCCACAATTGAGCACTAAAAACAAAGACTCAAAACACGTTGTTAAGTCCTTGATTACCCCTGCGATAAGCAAGGGTATTGCAATCGGGTAGTTGACTTTTTTCCCGTAAATAACTTTGTTCACAGAATGCTAAAATGGAAATCAGTATGCTTTATACACATTGGTTTATACGCATGGTTGATTAATAGAATTATTACTCTTTTGGCATTGTGTTTAGAGTAAGAGATGCCTAAAAATATTTTATTTGATTCGAAAATTTTTGGAAGATTTTCGGCACTGATGTCGTTCGGCTTTAATTCTGTCGGCTTATTTCCTAATGTTTTTAATCTATAAGTTATGTTGATTTTATAACGATTGATCTCTAACAGGGAATTTTTCCAAAATCGAATTTACCCTCTTAAATCCTCCGTCGTACAATTAGAAAAACTAAACATGAAAAGAATTATCAAGCTTTAGAAAACAATTTTGAATTTTTTACCTACCGTACGTTCTTTATCGAAAATTTCAGTAAGAATTTTGATCGATTTTTTCTTTTTTAAAAACTACCGTGTCAAATCTGAAAGTAAAAAATGAAATTTTTGAAAATTTTGGCCGTTTTAGAGAACTTCGTGATTTTCTCGAAAATACAGTGAAAAATCTGAGATAAAGGGTTCATCGAAAGAACAAGTAGCAGGGGTATCTCCTGCATAAGCGGATTCTCCCATTTTTGACAGGGAATCTTCCATGGTTTTTACCACTGTCCCATATATGACATTTTGACCCAATTTATGGGCTTCGTTCAATTTCTTCCCAAAACGACAAAATTAGGAAATTTAATCGGCTGGATATTTTTTAATGATCTCTCCTGCAAAAGTGTTTGCTTCAAAGTTTTGATAGGGAATCAGCCGTGGACTCGGAAAATTTCCAATTTTTGACATTTTGACACATTTCGAGAATTACGCATTACCTTTCGCATCAGTACATATTCTTAAAATTATCAAACATGTACCTCCAGTTTTAGCTGAGACCCTAGATATATTCCTAGATTCGTTGGCCAAAAAAGTTATTGCCTTCAATTTGGCACTAACTATTGTTAAATTATTGGCAATATTAGTGACCTCGAACAACTGATTTGTTCAAAAAATAAGAATTTACATAATTTAGTTTTTGGACACGGTTGTTACGAGTGGAAATGACTGAAAACTGGAATCCGACGTTAAAACAGGGGCCAATTTAGGGGGGGGGGGGCGGACGCCCTCCCTCACGGATTCGACCCCCTGCAGACGCAAAGGGTCCCCGCTTTGATACTTTTAAAGAAAACCATTTTGGCCGAGCGACCCTAAGAATTTTCTAAAGGCGCCTTCGGCGCGAATATATAATAACTTCGAGGAGCGCGCGCCAAAAAAAACGCAATTTTTTTGTCAAAATTTTTCAAAAAGTGCCCAAACACGGCTTTTTCGACTGTTTTTTTTTAAATTTGCCTGCGGCGCTGAAAGTTTCGCCCAAAATAGGGGGAAAACAGTGCTTTAGGAAAGTTTCAAAAATCAATTTGGTCGTCCTAAAAAAAAGATCGTCAAAATTTTCGAAAATTTTTTGAAAATCCGCCCCCCCCCCCCCCCCCTCGAGAAAATCCTAGATCGTTGACCGAAGAGAATATTGCCGACAATTTGGCATAATTTATACAAATGGTGGAGTGAAGATCTTGATTTGGTTTAGACATTCATGATCAGTCAGAAGTTGCAGGAGCTGATCAAACAGGGTCTGAAGCGACTGCAGTCCAGCAGAGCCACGGTTTGCAGCCAGTGTCCCATGAATGCGTTCCACGAGTTGTGTCGAGACCTCGAAAGTAAGTAGCTTTTCCTTGGTTAAAATCTTTTATTGGTTGATCTCCAGCGGAAAGTTATCTCTTGGGGGCAATGATTAACGAAGCTAGTTAGAAGTGGTATATAAGCGAAATGCACGAATAGTCTTGAAGTTTATTATAGTCTGAATCAGGATAGAATTTTTAGAGAGATTTAAAAACTTAATTTTGACTAGTTTGCAATGGCTCCTTAACAACTTTTCTCCTTTAGAACTATTTGTCAACTTTGTTTTGACATCCCAGTAATTGCGAAATTCTTTTTTGCAATTGAAAACGTTGATTCAGCCTCGTACTGAGAACGAACTTAGTTGTCTGATGTTTCATCTCTTGAATTGATAGTTCAAAAAAATGGCCTTTTTAACGAATTGAATGTAACCTTCAAAATCGGCTTGAATTGTTCTATCACTTGAAAAACACTTGTTTTTGCGATCCAATTCAAGCCTTCAAATTAACTGAAATGTTTCAGTTTCATTTTTTTGAAATGCTCGCTCGATAGATTTTTATTTGGTGAAAATAAATTGAATGTGTCATATCAAATTGAAAAGTTTCAAAAATTCATCGGTGGGAAATCATAAATTGCTTTCAGAAAAATTAATTCTTAGGGGTAATGAACGCAGTGAGTACTCTTTTGTTTTGTTTTTTTTTTCAGAAAAAAGTCTTAAAATTTGTTCACGCCCAATTTTGTTTTTTCGAGGTTTGTCTTGTGATTTTTTCAAATTCAGTGCATTTCCATTGTTAAAAGGAAGGCAAAATCAACTATCGAACAGCAAAAGTGTAAAGGTCACGAAAAACATGATCGACTTCTAATTTCGAAATTGGAAATTAATTATCAGATATCCCAGTAAAATAAAAGTTTTGCTTATTGATCCAGCTTTCTCAACTTGGGCTAACTTTAACAAAAAAGTGTCTGTCAGAAATTGTTGAACAAGTTTAAAGAGTTTTAAGACCATCAATTTTCAGTTTCCTTGCGTTCATCACTCTTCTCCAACTGTCAGTTGGCTGCTTAGATTTTGTTTGAAACTTTGATTTTGTTTTTCTATTTTTTATCGAAGAGAATTAATTACGGCTTCATTTAGTATCACTTTCGAATATGCTTAGGTTCTAGGCTTGGTTTTGGTTCCTTGTTTCAAATAATGCCGGTTAGATTTTTGCATTAAAGTGCATATGGGAAACTCCGTTGGAGAAGCGGGAAGAGGTTGCTTTTGTCGAAAAAGTTAGGCCTGTATTTTTTTGCCGAAGGGTTTCCGATTTTTTTTCCGAAATTTTTTTCTACTTGGTATTGAAATTGGTACTTATGAAAGTTGTTTACGCTCAATTTTTACGTTTCATAGTTCGAATTTTGATATCTTAGCAAGATCAATTCAAATTGCTTAAAGGAAGACATTTTAAGTTGCAATTTATGCTCTCCAATAACAAGGATGATTTAACTGCAGATTTAACAAATTGTCTATTGATTCAGCTTCATCAAATTGGGTTAGTTTAATCAAAAACGTGTCAATGATAACAGATTTGTGAAATTCAAAACTATGAAGGTCATTCAAGTTTTTGTCTAAATTATTGACTCCTTTCCAATTGTCTGTTGGCTGGGTTTTTTTAAAAGTTGCAATGGGTTTCTTGGAATTGTGTTTAAAATTTCTTGTTCGCAATTTTTTGATTCGTATGGCTGGGAATTAACCTAAATAGGCTATTTTCATCTTTCTAATATTTCTTAATAGTTTTATAGCTTTAGATTTTTGTTCATGAATTGCAAGTGATGCGTTGTTTCGCTTCTGTTCTCCAATAACAATTACTGTCGTCTCTGATCTTTCAAAAAACATCACTTAGTTTGGGGTCAACCAGAGTGTCTTTCTGATGACTCGTTTCAAGCCTTGCCACAATATTTCTTCTATCAAAATGAAAATTAGTATCTGTTTCTAGGTGTGTTTCCAATTTCTGATTTTTGGAGCTTATTGATGTGAACGCCTTAACACTAAGTAGTGGTCCTCGCCTGGATACGTTTAAAAGTCGATGGACGCAGTAATTTTTTCCTGCTTCTTCGAGTTCATTGACTCTTTTCAACTGTCTGTCAAAAAACATGCATGTTCATAGATCTGACGTTTAAATTCATTAATCAGATCTGTGAACATCTTGCGTGTCCATAGCGAGCTGCAAATTATTCCTAGGTTTAACTTGACAACCTCCTATTCGACTATTTGTGTAAGCCATGAAAATATAGATTGTGAGGAAGCGAAGTGAAACTTCTTTTAAGCATATAAACATGTAGCGCTGACTGCTCGTGTGGCGCCATCATGTGTTGGTTTCTAGCAAGGTGTCATCAATAAAACTGGAATAAAAAAGTTTACAAAAAAAACTGAGTGAAAATTTTTTTCATTAGTTCGCGCAAATCAAAAAAATCACAATATTGGATCGATATTACTAAGAAAGATAGGATAATAAAATGGGACCGGCAAAAATAAAGCATACTTCATCTAATTTAGACTCATTTTTTCTCATAGATTTCACAATTATGAAACTAAATGCGTTTTTAATTGACGTTTAATTTGCATTTTGTAATTTTCCAAGTTGATTAAACGCTCTGCATATGCATTTCCCATGTAAAACTGATCCCATTTCATTATTTAGCGAGTGGGCGGGGGGGGGGGGGGGGGTGGGGAGCCAAAAAGACTACATCCTTGTCTGTGGGAAGCTATTTCAAACGATGTTTTAGACTATTTTGTCTCTTCAAAGCCTTGTGGTTTTACCTTTGCATATTTGATATTCGGAAGTTAGCATATAAATTAACACTTTATCACAGGGTTGATTTGTCTGTTAGGATCAACTGAAGGACTCATAATATCATCAGTCAATGACTTTTGACACCCCTAATTGGTTCTTCATCTTCTGCAGCGGATGAAGCCAACCAGATTTTCTTTTGATAAGCGAAGCACGTAGGCGGTTACAATAGACCTTGCGTGGGGCTATATATGCGTTGCAAAAGGCAATCCATAGTTATTTCATTTTACATGGTCGAACAAATTACTTATTTACATTTATTTTGTTGATGCAATGTTTTTTTTTATGTAGGAGCAAGTTGTTGTCTTTTTTGCCATTGCTTTTAGTTGCACTTAAATCGCAGAATGCTTGTTACTTTTCCAGCAAAACATATATAAATATTACTTTAGAAGTGTAATTTGGGATTTATGGAAATCTTTCATAAAAATTGAGAATGGAAAAAGAGCCAACTGTTTATTTGGTGGTATTTAAATCAGCCATTGCTTAATTCAGATACATAAATCAGCCGGAAGTATTGATCAGCTTCATAATTTTGATGTTAAAATCATATAAACTCACGAATATGAGGCATTTCTCGACACAAATGACATAACTTTTTCGACTGGATTATATTCTCTACTCGTTTTCGACTAGATTTTACTGCGGGTAATTTAACCGCACTTGTTTATTTGTACCAGAGCTCGACGACACCTCAATCAACAGTGCAATAAGGACAAAGTTCGAGTCAATTTTGACAAGTATAGGCCAGTTTGGCTCCAATTCGAACCCGAATTTAAATGCTTCTTTCGTGGACCCTATTCAACAATTCGTCAACCAATCACAATCGGGAAGAAGACTTTCTGTGGCGACTGAAAATGGGGCTATGATGGCTCTGCTTCGGCAGCACTTCGAATCGATGCAGCAGACACACCAACATGTTTTCGGATCGGAATTGGGAAATAATTTGAAAGGCGGATTTTTTGACAACTTCAACAAGGCCAAGAAAGCTATGCAGGGGTCTCTGCAAGAAATGAAGGTGAAATTAAAGGAGATAATCAATTATCCGAGTAGATAGAGAGCGAATCATGGCTTAGAGTGTTTGTTAATAATACTAGCCCAAGTAAAGAATCTTTTTAGGTCAATTTGTTTTGAGAATCATGATATTTTGAGATATGACTTCTGAGTTTTTCAGTTCACTCCAAATGCATATGATCAAAAGAAGGCAATTCGTCTGAAAAAGTGACTTGACTTTTCATTTCCAAAATGGATTTAAGTTATCAGATTTCTAATAAGAAATTTACTATTTGAATATATTTGATCAGTTTCATCAAAATTGATCAATTTTATCAAGAAAGTGTCAACCTTAAAATTTTCCTGAAATTGAAATAGCTTTTAATGATATAATTTTTTCTTTAAAATCAAAAAGTCTTCTTATTGGGTTTATTAACACTTCCAACTGTCTTTTGGCTATATTTGTAATTAATATTAAGATTGGTATTGAAGCCACAGGAGGTTTCTTCGATTTTTTCTTATGAAAATCTTTCAAATATATTCTTAATTTTTCAAATTTTGCATACTTATTGGATATGCGTTTTTCAGATGTTCAATCGAAGTCTAACTCTTTTAATTGACGCGAACGTCGTGTGAAGTATTTTGAATATGAAAATTTTTGAAATTTTCCTTTCAATATCGTTCTATTGAAATGTAGAAGGGAGAATATTGAAAATTAAAAGCAAATGGCGCAAAAAACGCCATGTAAAGTTTCAAAAATGATTGCTTAATGAAATGTCAATGAATGGAGTGAATGCACTTATTGAGGTTAATGTGTTTTTTTTTCAGCAAAAATCCAAGAGTATTTTTTTTCTCAAATCTGATTTTTCGCGTTTGATTTTTTAAATCTTTTTAAATTCAGTTCAGTTCCTTTGTTAAATGGAAGACAAAATTCACTATCGAACAGCGAAAGTGTAAAGGTCGCGAAAAACCTGATCGTTTTCTAATTTCGAAAGTGGAAATCAATTTTCAGCTGTCCCAGCGAAATATAAAATATATTTATTTATCCAGTTTTCTCCAATTGGCTTAATTTTTATCAAAAAAGTTTCAATCATAAATTGTTCTGTAAAATCAAAAAGCTTTAAAGACATCTATTTTTTTCTTAGAAATTCAAAAGTTCAATTTTTGAAAAGTGATTCATTGAGAAAATGTTTCAAAACGACATATCCAAAATGGCAAAGCCAGAATCTGGTATTTACCTTATCATCCAGTCTTTCATCCACACAAACCAGGAGAAGTCAGAAGGTTTCGAAATGCAGCTTCGAAGTATCAAGGGATATTTTCGGAATCAAGGGATAAAGTTCAGATAAAGTGGATTTTTTTTCATTTTTCGTAGCAGATTAAAAAATACCGATTTATCCAGTTTTCTCAAATCGAATTAGGCTATTTAAAAATACCAATCATTAAAGCTTTTTTTAATTAAATGAAATTTAACGTAATATATTTTATCCCTCAAACTCGAAAGTTGTAAAAATGCTCAAAAATAAAGCATTTTTTTCACACTTAACTCTGAAAAACCTTTCCATTGGTCTGTTGGCTATGCTTGTAGATATTCGAATGGTGCGTGCTACGTAGTTTTTGAAAATTTCTGGAATTTCTCGTGTAATTTATGTTGGTTTCCAATGGTTTCCTTTTGCACGTATAATCCATACGCCCGGGAGTTTTCTAGAATTAAATGGAAGTGAGATAATATTTCAATCTTCTTGAATGATGTGTCAGTTTTTTTTTACTGTTGAACATGTTTTGTTTTGCATTTGTGTGAACCTCGGTTCGTCTTGTACAAAAACATTAAAACCTTTTAAAAGGATTTTTCGAATCTTCTGTCTCCATTTTAAAAGTCGATGAACTTAGGGAAGACTTTTATATAGGTCATTATATTTTTTGTTATTGTTTTGTCAGAAAAAGTCATAAAATTTGTCCGCGCTCAAATATGAGTTTTCGCTGTTTGACTTTTGGTTTCTGTTTAAGTTCAGTTTGTTTCCTTGGTTAAAAGGAAGGCAAACTCCACTATCGAACAGAAAAAATGAAAAGGTCAAGAAAAATGTGATCGGCTTCTAATAGCGAAAATGGAAATTAATTTTCAGATTTCCCATCGGAATAAAAACTTTGCCTATTGATCCGGTTTTCTCAAGTTGTTAGTTTTATCAAAATTATAACAATAATAAATAGTTACTGAAATTTTTCACCTTTAAATTTGAAAGTTGAGATATTTGAAAGTTGAGAAAAAACAAGTCTTCATTTGTTTCTGTTTGCTTGCGTTCACTGAATTTTTTCCAACCGTCTGTTGGCTATGTTTTTATATGTGTTTATCTGAAAAAGCCTAAATTGATACAAAAATCATAGAATAAAATAGTTATAGTTTTTGGTGATATTAAAGAAGCGAAAAAAATTGATACATTTTTTTTTTCGAATTTCGCAATTTATTCAAGCAATATTTTTTAAGGTGAAAAATGAAAATGTTTACTTTCAATGTAAACATTACTAATATGGGGGAGCTGTAATTTCTTGTTGTGGCCATAATGAAAATGAGCTGAAAACAGGGTCAACATTTAATCTATGCGTAAAATGTCAAACAAAGAATTAAAAACATCGTTTTCCGTTTCAGCACGTGAAGAATGAAATGATTGAGGAAGCTTCGAGGAATACGACATCCATTTTCACTCTTCCCCAGAAGGTATTATCATTTCTTCTTGCATTCGGAAAAAATCAGGATTTTTTTCTAAATGATTTTAATGAAAAAAAACAGCTATAAAAAGAACCGGTGGATTATTTCAGGCCATTGGAAACGGAAGCAATAAAGGTCTGATGTCTACTCCCAAAAACTGGAAAGAAGGCACAAATGCACTGGAACACAATCTGAAGGTTCTAGCCGGACGTATGAAAGGTCAACAGATGACCCCTGACCCGGTTGGCAGTTTGGCTGAAGAGTGGCTGGCCCTGAGGTCAAAAGGACGCAAGCCTTCTTTGCCGGTGTTCAGAGGCATTCCCACCTGGAGGCAGGACATCTACACACTCGTCACCACTCCAGTCAAGAAATCCACTGAAGGTCGGTTCATTTTCATTTTATGGACTCGTGATGTGGCCTATGGTAGTATCCTAACAAGCCTATGGTTGCCGGTTCGAAATGCGCCAGTGCACTGCAGTTATTGTTGCAGTTAAGTCGCAGCTTAGCTAAGCTTATTTTTGTGCTTAACGAAAATATAATGGTTAAGATACCGCGAGTCTTTATGCGAAGAAAATGAAACGATTGATTTTGCTCAAGAAATAAGCTAACATATTGAGTTTGTTGTGCTAGAGAACGTTCCGATTATAAGCTGTTTTTTTTTTGGACAATGCCAAAAAATAACTATAATACTTTCGCCCAAAAATAGAGTTTTCAATAATTGTTTTGGCTTAATATCGTAGACGATTTATGAAATTTTTGTATTCCTTGTGTGAAAAAATGAAACCCTGCAAATTTCAAATATTGTTTCTGAAAGGTACCGGCAAAATGACAAATTGGACGTGCATGTGATACGATATCAGCAAACAGCCACTATCAGCAATAAATAAGTTGTTATATGAATTTGATTTTTTTTTCAGAGCCAATCGGAGCCGTTGGATATGCGAATGTACTAGAGATACCAATGGACTTTAGTGACTGTTCTCCTCTGGGGGTGAAGCCAGACCTAGAGGTGGTTGTAGCCAAAGTTACCAAACGAGACTACAAGGCCATTTGGAAGCGGGCCATTTTAGACCAGATACTTCTCATTCGAATGGAAAAGGCAAACTCTACGCTTAAAGGTAAACATTTTCTGTTTCGAAAGGCAGATAAATTGATTGACTTTTGTCATACTTCAAAACTTCTGATTATGAAAAACAACTAGTATTTTTTTTCTAATTAAGGCAGTTGAACTATTACTATCAAGTTCTGTGCCGAGAACCTTATTTTTTTTTCTAAATCACCTGCGATAATTCTATTCCGTTTCTGTATCAGGAAGCTAGGGCAATGATTGATACTTATGATTGCTACCTATGTACTTTTTAAAAGCATTTCTTACTGATTCTTAAGAGTTTTGATCTTCCGACCTCGTTTTCTGTAAACGGAGAGGGTGCTGTCCGAAGTGAACGATTGACTGCTTCATTAACATATACGGCTTTTTGTTTTCGTAACTTATGGCGATTCTGGCTCTAAAGAGAAAACTTCTTCAACGAAGTCTTCGTTTTTTCATGACACTCAAACATTTTTCTCACTTTTCAACTCGAAGTTTGACTGAGAGGGCTTCAATGAAATAGATAATTCAATCAGACGTGACGTTTATTTCCGGAACCTGAATTAGCTTAAAAACAGCTGAATCCAAAATTTATCGACGCCTTTAGTGGTTGGAACAGTAATAGTTTAAAAGTACACAGCAGTGCTTAGTTGGGGACGGTCAAGATACGGAATGCGTAATGGGTGGAATGGATCGCGGCTGAAATTACCTGAGAAAGGATGGAATTTGAGCTGGGTTTTGTTTTTATCATAGATGCAGAATATTTAAACGCCAATTTGAGTCGACATTCTTGTGTAAATGATGGTTTTAATAATTGTTGTTTATTTGTAATTATGGCTTGCGTTTGGTTCAGGCTGCTTTTTGCTGCACATGGGAAAACGTGCAATGGTGTTGTTCCCAGCAACACTCACTCAATCCGATCAAGGTACTGAAATGATTTCTGTATCACTTTTCTGCATCTCTTCTTGGAAAAACACCGGCATGATTCTAGCTGATTCGGCTCTTTTCCACTTACCCCTATAGTACATTATCATGGCTAAGTGTGGGACCAAAGGATGTGAAATGTATGATCAAAAATTTGTTCAGAAACGTTTAGTTATTCATCATGCTATATATTATTTAAGGCGATGAAATAATTTGCTTAATTTAATTTTGAGTTTGGTGGTTAAACTGGAAAAGAGCCATTAATTTAGCCCATGTAACTTTTCACTTAATTCCTTGAAATCTTTTTGCACTTTTATTTTGATTTGTTATTGATTTTGCCGAATGTCTTTCATTTTTTGAGTTTCTCAATAAGTATTTATTAATGGAATTCAACCATTTTGGGAGCTATGAAATTTAGTAGATAGCTTTTTCAGTTCGAAAATTTATCTATAAACCCAGAAGATAATTGAATGAGCTTGAAGTGTTTCACGCGAGCTATTTGTGCAAAAACTAGAACTGAAAAAAGAGGAAATCAGCTTATCTAGTTGAATAGCATCATCTTAGAAAAGTCTATGCAGTTTTTACTCAAGCACAGCTTGTGATCTATAATGAAACAGCCAATATAATCCATGTTTAAAATGTTGGTCGGACACTTTGCATGTTTCATGTTCTTTCCAGAGCATGGAATAGCCGTAGCTATCAAAAGTACCTACTTGTACTATTGAGGGAAATTTAAATGATGTAATGTTTCAGCTTGCCAAGACTGGGTCGCTCACCGAAGATGCAAACTGGACTTTGACGATTCGATCGGAGGTCTCCGATGCCCGGAGGAGTTAGGCGAGGTGTGGCAGGACCTCCTGAACCAACAGTCTCTGCACAGTGTCAGGTACGACTACGTTTACGCTGCTGTGAAATCAGGGATACCTAAATTAGTACGAGGAGAGGCCTGGAAGTTCCTGAGAATGTACAACATGCAAAGGCTTCGGGAGTCCCACGGATGTCGGAAGACTCCGGATGGTCAAACTTTGGATTCGAATTGTAATCTGATTGAAAATGACACAATTGTGACTCCATTGTCCACTCTGGAATTTCAATACAACTACGAGAGTCTGATCAGGAAGAAGAGCAAACATCAAAACGACATTTTTCTTGATTTAGGTAAGGATTTTTCGATGAAGTTTTTCGATACTTAAATTGTTCTTAATATTTTATAGCTACAATGAATAGCGGATTTAAAGATGAAGCAAACGCCCCCAGCCCCTCAGGGATTCGACCATCTGATGATCCAAAGGGTCCATCCTTTGCTAATCTTTTTAAGATATGCCATAATTTTTCTGAAGGCGCCTTTTGCGCCAATATATACTTATTTTAAGGGGTGAGTGCGCGCTGAAAAAAGCAATTTTTTGGTCAAAATTTTCCAAAAAGTGACTAAAAACCCCTTTTTGGCCTTTTTTTTCTAAAAACTTCGCCTGCGGCGAAGACAATTTGGTCAAACTAGCGTCTTTATGGTGGCCCTGGGGTCAATTTTTTTTTGAAAATCACTCCTCGAGAAAATCCTAGATCCGTCCCTGCCTGCAATGAAATTGGTTTTTAACGTGTCTGGCGCGAAGTATTCGTCTTCATTGGTCATTTGGCGAAGTAATGCTGTTATGTATCGGTCATGGAATTGCAAAAAGTGGCTTAAAGGAGGAGAAAATAAATCCTGTTGTCATCTGATTTACCGCAATTGGCTGCTTCTGTTTTCAGATCGAACATTCCCTACGCATCCCTTTTTCGCAGAAAAGTACGGGATTGGACAACTTGCTCTTTACAATGTCCTTAGAGCCTACTCCATCATAGACGACGATGTGGGATACTGCCAAGGCATGAGTTTCGTCGCATCTGTCCTCCTTATGCATCTAACCGAAGAGGAATCCTTCGAAATGCTGAGATACTTGATGCAAGCTCTAAACTTACGTCGCCAATACAGACCTCCAAACATGACTGGACTTCAAGTTAAGCAGTACCAACTGCAAAGGTTGCTGCACGATAGATTGCCGAGGCTTCATTCACATTTACAGAAATTAGAAATACCGCCGACACTTTATGCCACAGCCTGGTTCTTAACCTTATTTTCGTCCCAGTTTCCACTTGGCTTGGTGATACGTCTGTTTGATCTCATACTGCTGGAAGGACCCGATGTTGTGTTTAAAGTAGCAATTTTTATTTTTACCAAGTTTGAAGGCGAGTTGCTTGCTAAAACGTCTTTTGAAGGCGTCATAAATTGGTTCAAAACTTCGTTGCCGACACTGGTGGCTGAAAATGCTTCAGATATTATTAAATCGGTGAGTGCGAAGTCTTCTACCTTTTAGTTTTATCGGACGCATTGCTTGAAAAAATTAACTAAGGTCGAGTTGAATGGTTCGAAGTTTTATCGCTTGAATAGATTGCTCAAAAAACTTTGCGCGAACCGATTTCCTTTATAAAATTACTTCACAAACTTCTAAGTTTTATCGCTTAAAAAGATTTCTGTGAAAAAATTTCGTTAACCGACTTGTTATACGAAATAAATGATATATTTCGATGTTTCGTCGCTTCACTAGCTTGCTTTGAAAAGATATAGCATTTTTCAAACCGATTCGTTCTAAGGTATAAACTGAAAATTTTCAAATGTCATCTCTTTAATAGCTTACTTAGAAAAACTTTAAACCTTCTCGCGAACCGATTCGTTCTTTGAAACAGTTTGGTATATTTCAAAGTTTCATCGCTTAAATAGTATTTCAAATTTATCGTGAACTGATTCGCTTCTTGAAATTACAAAGTTTGTTGCTTGAACAGCTTTCTTCGAACAACTTAATTCTTTTGCTAACTTATTCGCTCCATGGATTTACATGATTTATTGAATAATACATGAACGTTTCATGGTTTGGTTAATTTGCTTCGGAAAAATTTTCTCGAACCAGTTTGCTCTACGGAAGGACTTGAAGTTTCATTGCTTCAATAGATTGCTTCAAAGACACTCCAATATTTTGCAAGCCTATTCGCTCTTTGAATTAACTCGAAGAAATTTCTATGAAATAACTCAAAGAAATTCAGTTTTCATCGCTTGATAAGTTTGCATATAAAGACTTGATTTTTTTTCAAATCTTTTTTAAACCTAATTTTGTATTCCCGAATTCCATCGCTCGAATAGTTTTCTAAATTATGACTTTACATTTCCGACTTTGTGCTGACGTGATTTGCTAAGATAAAATAAGTTTTTGCAAATCGATCTAAGGCATGAAATGACATCAAACACGAAAATTTTAATTACTAGAATGGTCTGCTCTGAAAAGACTGAAAGATTGGTTCAAGCTAGAATACCTTGAAGGCTTTTCGCTTGAAGTAACATAGCTTGAATGAATAGATTGCTTCGAAAAGCTTAAAAAATTGCAAACCGTATCATGATCTGGAATAACAAATTATTCAAGATTTATTGCTTGAATAGCTTGCTCAATACAACCAACATTTTGCGAGCCGGTTGATTAATGGAGACGGGCTTACTAGTATTATTTTGAAAAACAAGTAAGTAATTCATATTTGAAGAAAATGGGTGATACTAAAATCGTTAAAAAACAGTGAGTTCTGAAGAACCCGGATAGCGTTAAACTTCGTTGTTCTAGAGTTAATGATTTTATTTTATTTTCAGGCTTTCGACAGCAGCTTTGAGTACTTAAACAAACAACTGTTCGCCTACGAGGTAGAATACCAAGTAATGCGAGAAGAAGAAATCATCAATTCGCCAAGCGGAGTATCAAAATTAGGTGAAAACAATCTACCGAAATCAGAAACATCTTCAGATATCGCAAATAGCAGGAATGACTATTCGGGTCGAAATAGTGGATCAAGTCTGCAGAAACACAATGAGTTCTGCCTTGAAAAGGTGGCAGCTCTGAACAAAAAACTGGAGAAGGATAACTATGCTCTGGAATTGAAGACACAACATCTCCGGTCGCACAGCTATGAGCTGCAGGTGAGTTAAGTGCATGATAAACAGTGGCGCATTTGACGACCTCCCAAAGGGTCCCGCTCTTGTGCTATTTTAAGGCGTCCACTTTTGGCTCACGGACCCCAAAATTTTTGTAAAGCCGCTTCCTGTGCCGATACAATCTTAATTTGAGGAGAGTGCGCGTCGATAAAACGCAATTTTTGGGTCAAAAACTTCAAAACAGTGCCTGAAAGCGTCTTTTCTGCCAGTTTTTTTTTTCAAATCAAAACATCGCCTGCGGCGCTGAAAATTTGGCCAAACTACGATTTATACAGTGATTTGGGAGAATTCGCAAAATCAATTAGGGGACCTAAAAAAATGTGCACTAAAAAGATCGACAACTGCACCCACGAGAACATCCCAGACAATATCTGTTCAATTTTTAAAATAGCAGGTATAAGTTTTTAGAATATCTAGTTTTGTTTTAAGCGAAATGGGTTTTTGGAAATTAAGTACTGAGGTTTTTGGGCGACGAACAATTTTTCAAGTGATCATGTTCTCTGAATTACACTTTCAGCTACCTTAAATGAATTTTATTGAATATCTGAACTACTAACTAAAGTAAAAAAAAGAAAAGTTCGGTCACCACAAAACAAAACGAAATGGTGTTTTGCATGGAGCAGCTTACACGTAAATTAAATCTCCTAGTGAACGAATTTTGTTTTCAGGACCAGGTCGCTTCTCTGCAAAAGGAAGAGTGCAAACTCCACTCGGCTCTGTTGCAGCTAGCACAGGAACGCGAGTCGCTCAAACGAACAGTCGAGGCTCTCTGTTCAGAACTGGAAAAGACTTCTCGCAACCCAAACGTCAATTCACAGATACCATTGAGCTCAACGGTTTTAGCCGATTTGCAATTAAGTAATTTGGACGACATTTTGCCCGAAAAGTTGGCATCTAATCTAAACCAATCACACTCAAACTCAAACGTGTTTCACCCTCCCAACGCTCTTAATGGAGATTCATTGAGCAATATTAACAGTAGTAAATATTACGCCAATAGTGCAGTATCAAACAACAGCCAAGCTTATATGTCAAATTTCACAAATGGAAGTAGTTTTTAATTTAGTTGACTGAAATAAAATTTCTTATTGAAAAAAATCGATGATGCGACTTGTTAACAATATGTATAGATGCTCTTTTCCTTTGTTGTTGTTATTCATTTTGAAGCTTTATGACATCTGACGGTTAAAAAGCATTAGAAATACAAGAAATGTTGCTCGGATGCTGAGCAAGCCGCACAAACTGTTACGACCACACAAAATGTAAAACATAATTAAACGGGAAAAAATATTTGAACTTTTTCGGAGTTCTGTGGTAGCAGGAATGAACTGAACAGTTTTTTAATGTCGTATAACAGTTTTGCTTTATCAATTGTGATCATATAACATTTCTAATGAAATAAGATTATAATTTATAAGGCAAAACTAATCATAGTTTAATTGGATATCGTATAAAATAACCCGAAATACCCTTTTCGCCTACGTTTTCGGTCCATAGGCATTTTTTTGAAAACGTCTTTAAAAGGACGGATTTAATGAGATAAATCTTGCTTTTGAATCTTCTAATAAATAGCCAGTACTGAAGTTTTCTCAGGTCACTTCAAGAAAATTTTTTTTCGAAGTAATGCATTGCTTAGCAATTTTCAGTTTATTTCAAGAATGCGAGAAATTAATACAGCTTAACCGGTCAATATTTTGTGATTTTGCTTGAGTAGTTTAGAATTGTTTAGAATATGCAACTAAAACAATGAAAACTCAAATGAGTATCTAATCGAAACTGGAATTCTCCTATTACCTATTATGACAAAGCATTCTAAAACTATTACGAAAACTCAAGAGTCTTCTATGTTTGATTGATTGGCCTGGCGATAAGCAAGGGTATTGCAATCGGGTACTAGATTTTTTTCCGTTAATAACTCTAGGCACAAGACTCTCTTTTAATCTCGACTCATTTCCTGAGGCCTCTATTAGCAACAGATTTACCGCTACCATTGATTTTTTCTGCATGTCAGTATTTTTAATACCTGTCCTATAGGAATTTATCTTTTTATGTTGGTTGTAATTTTATCAACTCGATTTGATAAAATTCATTTTTTTGTTTTTTCTTTTTTGTTTTTTTTTGGCTTGTTAGCCAATAATTCACAACAACAAATCCGTTACTGAGTGGTAATACCGTTCCGTTACTGAGTGTATAAATGCTGGGTAAGAATTAATTTCAACAGTAAACATTTTCAATTTTTTTTAATTTTGAGATACCGAAATTCCAAACCAATCTTAACAGCAAGCTAGTTTAAGTGAAATCAAGTTTATTTTATACACAAGTCTGTGATATTCTATTTATTTTGTTTTGATTACTTTTCTTTTCTACGAGGGCAGAGGATGTTGATATTACTCAATAAGGTGGATTTGTCTTAAGTTATTTTTGTTAAACATTTGTGTAGCCACCAAAAAAACAGCCGATTTTAGAACGGAGTTAAACTTGTTTTTACTAATTACCACTGTCGTGATTTTGGGAGTAGAGAGAGATCAGTTGGAGCAGAAAAGAAGAGTGTCTGACTTAGCGTCCTGGAAATGTAAAGTTTAAAGAGAGAAGGTTTAGTAGGTGCGCAGCTCGCACGAACGAAAGGATTGAAAAGAAGCAGAAGTTCAAAAGAAATTAAAAGGCCCGTGGACGTAAAGTAGTAATGCTTGATGCTTGCAGTAACAGCAACGTAGCTTAAAGGAAAAATAATTGTCCGGAGTGCTGACAACACCACTTCAAGTCCAAGCAGGAACTCCAAAAAAACATAGTTCTTTATGAAAGATGAGAAAAAAGTAGCAGGTGCAAAAAATTGAAGAGGTCTGCGGAAACATAAAAAACATCATTTAGAGTTTAGGAATTTTGAATGAGAATGAGTTAGAAATTGCAAATAGAGGATTCAAAGCAAAAAATGATTTAAAGAAACCTAATAGTGTTCTCAATGATTCGAACTAACTTCACTGTTCTACGATCAGATGATTTACCTCTGAACTATTCCCCCTCAAAATGCACAGACCATTTGCTACAAGTCAAAACAAAGAAAAATGAATTATTTGAAAATGAAGAAAAGCTGAAGAAAAAGAGTTTGTTCAATAGCTTTGAGTGCTCCTAATTTCATTGTCAGTTTAATACATCTGTCAAATAGGAGATTCCAGTGAGGACGGATAGTTTTAGCTTTTGAACTTGAAAATATAACATTTTTGTTCTCTTTAAAAAAGCATAAAAAACAGAAAAGAAAAAATTGCTTTTCACTACGGGCATCAAGCCTGGTTTCCTCTGATTGGGAGTAAAATGAATTTAGGTACAAAATCTTTTCCAACTGTTTTCGATATATGACGTAAAACAATACGAAATAATTTTATACGGCAGAATTTTTTTTTGTATACAGAAAATGCTTCTAAATTGAATAATATGGCTTCTATACTTTCCTTCTCCTTAGCATTTTTTTCTATGCGATTGGAAGCACATCAAACACATTTCGGACTTTTCAAATCAGGATGACTTGATTGTTTCAATCAGTTCAAGCTAAAAATTGAAGAAAAAAAATCATGTTTTTTATCAGCTTCTCGATCTACCAATTACAGCTTCTCGATCTACCAATACATAAGTGTCAAATGGGACAAAAATTTAGTTATCTGAAATCATCATGTATAACCACAGTATTATGTGTGAGGCGATCAGGGGGTGGGGGTCGTGGTTTCGGTCCACCATGTATTAATATAGGCTATAGATTTCCGGTACCGCCAGCTACGCATTCGGATAGAGAATAGGTTTTCAATGTATTAAGATAAGTCTTAGGTTTCCCCATGTATTACCACCGAGCTATGACCCATGTTTCCCAATATACCAAGTTACATTAGGTTTCCTCGGCGCCCGAAGTATCCATGTGTTGACATAGTGTATAGACCTATGTATTAAGATCAGTAATAGACCCAATATGTATTAGAATTAATAATAGACTCATTAGGTTTCCCAATGTATTCGGATAAGTTACAGGTTTCAGAGTTTTCAGATGGTTTCGAAAATTTTTTTTGGTTTTTAAAAAAGTTTTGGCGCCCGGTTTTGCCGATGTAGCAATGCTTAAGATTCAAAACGGGAATGTCAAAAATCATATGTATTAAGATAAGTATTCTCAACGTCCTAAATGGGTTTCAGAGTTTCGGATGGTAAGATGGTTAGTTTCAAAAAATAATGGGCACCCGAATTTTCCGTGTATTAAAATAGGGTATAGAATTGTTCATATATTAGGTTTGACATTAGATTTTCTTTGTATTAAGTTGTGGTTTAGAATCTGTAATAATTTAAGACGCAACGCTTTTGTATCATGGTAAGAAAACGCGATATGTATCAAACGAAACCGAATGGCTAACTGTAATTCAATTGGGAGTGATTTCTCAGCCGGATTAATTAGCCGCTTACACGTCAAAAGAGTGTTCAATTACGCCAAACTAGCAGGTGGCAAAACTACAAAAAAAATACTACTTTGTATCCGAAGTGTGAATTCGCCTCAGAGTTGTTGTGTGTAGGCCGTATAAAATGCTGACGCGGGGGGGAGGGGTAAACTCCAAGCTCTCAGTAAAGTCCATAAGGGCGATTGGTTTCTCTTGCAGGCCTCAGTGTCATAATGCTTAATTCTCAATATCTATTGTATTCCTAGTTGCCATTTTGCTCTGTGCACAGCTGTATATATAGACTTACCCTGTATATTTTGCAAGATTGATACTACGCCGCGTTGCTGTAATTTTAACCAATAGTAGTTTTTAGTTTGATGAACGTCTTAGGTTTAATTTATAAAGAATCTTTTCCAGTCCAAGAACCGATTTGAATAATTCAAATTCCGGATTTAAAAAAAAAACAAACTAAACTGATTTAAGACATAGACTGGAAAATGTTCTTTCCTGTATCTATTTAATCATTGTAGATGGCAATGTTGTTGGAAAGTATGTAGAAATTTAGTTTGTTGTAATGATGTTGTTTATTTTGATAATGCATTGTAGCCAGTTAATTGAAATCTTGCTGCCTCGAGTTTCTACTTTGAGATGAGCTAATTGTGAGTCTTATCTGGCACATGGACGACCAAATAAGATGATGTTTGATGGCTTTTTGAAAATTAAATTAGGTTTGTTACAGTTGGAATCAAAAACAAACGCCCCTGCCCTCCCACCCCCAGAAATTTGACTTCTGCAAAAAATAGGTCCTTTTGACGCGCTCGGAAAATCAATTTGAAGAACCTGCAAAAGGTCGACAAAATTTTGGATTATTCGAACTTGTCAGATGAGTTGAACATGATTTGTTATAACGTTCAACTATTTCACTGAGAAGTCCTCTTGAGTAAAGAAGTTTTATCTTTTTGAGAAATTTTGAAAAGTGAAGGAAATTGTGATTTATCATAAATAAACTTTTTTTTCGTGATTCGAACGACATCGAAAAGTTTTCAAAAAGTTGTGTCATTGTGGAGTAGAATAATTTCGAGTGATAAGAGATGGTAACGTTAGTTAAATTGGTTATTTAGACTAATCAAAAAAAAAACTTTTTTAAAAAATTAAAAATTAGTTTTGGAAAAACTCATTTGGCGCTTCCATGGCAAAAAAAAATATTTCTGAGAAAATCGAGAAGTTATTTGTCCAACAAAATTTGTCGTTACTTTTGAGTGTTTAAATTCATCAAAAGTTCTTTTAGTACGTTTTTGATGAGAAATTTTTATACACCAAAAGAATTTAGGTAAACTAAGCATAAGCGACAACAGTTTTCTTTAAAAAAATTATGTATGTGTGTATTTGTGTGTGCGTACACACATATGCACGCACGCACACACACACATTGTTTTTCTTGAAGACAACTCTTGTCAGTTATGCCTGATTAACCAAATTTCTACTGGTATGCTTAGTGTTCTCATCACAGAAGGTACTAGAAGAAATTTTGATGAATTAACTAATTTCAGGAACTTCTTTTGAATTTTATTAATGTTGACGGAATATTCTGAGCTACTTGCACAGCAACCGGCTATCCTTGTTGGTTTAATGATTTCACCTCCTTTGATTTAAAAAAAACACGGAAACTTGGAAAGTCAAGTCGGTTGCATTGCAAGCAGCAGCGAATGTTCTGACCACAATAATCATTTCTAAATTTTCTGTCGTTTTCATGAAAAAATAATATTGAAAAAATTGATAATAACATGACCAAATTTTGAGCTCAAGTAAAATCATATTAAGCGTGATTTTTCTAGCGGTATACTGGTCCAGTAAAAAGAAAAATTTTCTGGAACGTTGCTTATTTTACGCCTCGAGACCTGCTTTTCTATTAAGAGGATTTTGTTTTCAATTTTTCATCAAAAAAAATTTCGTAAAAGATAGACAAATTGTTGGTTATTATTATTTTTTTTCGAATGAAAAGTCGTTTTTTTCTTTTTTAGTAGAAATTTGCGCTTAGTTTGGCAGTGCAGCTCTACAAAATATGGCTTTGGAAACCTTAAATTTTCGATTAAAGTTTTTGCTGGGTTTTCAAGGCATGAATATGGAACCCAATATGCCGAATTCGATTGTCTGTCCACTGCCTTTTGGGTTGTCGGTGAGAATACACTTGAAAACAACATCCATAAAAAATCAAAACAACTTAACTCACTAGAGTTCAGAGTGCAAAACAATTAACTAATTTTTTGTGAAATTGTGCTTAAGTTAGCGGTAAGTAATACACGCTAAAAATCCTAATTGATGTTAAAGGCCTGAATATATAACTTGAAGAATGCGATATAAATATAAAAAAGCTATGGTCTGTCACTTCTTGAAGGATTGTCTGTACACTGCTTTGGGTGCTCTGAATGTAACTGAAACCGAGAGCTAAACAAACCCTTGTTAAAAACACCGGATTATTGAGATAAACAAGAATCGCAGGCACAGCAATTAGCTTTTACGGCTACAACCTTAGTGACAACGCTGAGCTTTCAACCATTTTGAAGAGTTATCTTATAATCTTACCGTTTCAAAATCGTAAGCTCATATTATTTATTAAAATGGAACAAAATCCAATTGTACTAATTACCCACTTGTATTTTATTAAACCAATTTTGGGGACGATTTTCTTTAAGTTGAATAACAAGCATTTAGGAAATATTATAAATAAAATAATGTTGTAACACATTTTCAGTAATGGATTCTAAAACAGAAAAGTCAAATTGACGCTATCTTGGACCCAACTGAATAATTAGTTAAAAGTTTGGAAGATAAGATTGACTAGATTTTGTTTGTACTTTAATAGGCTTGAAAAAAAAACGTTTGACACTGAAGGTCATTAAAATTTAATGAAAAATTCGAATTGTACGGTCTACAGTAAAGCTTTCAGTCTTTCAATATCATACATAAATTGATAATTGCGAGTAGTACGTTAGTTATATGATGTGATTTTCCAATGAAGAAATTGTTAAATATTGTGTATCAAAAGGTGCGGTCTTGGATTAATTGTTGTTCTTGCTTTGTAGTTCTGACGAGCCAAATATCTGTCAGCTCAGTACAGCAGTGTTCGTTGTGGATAATGCGCATTGTATAGCATAATTAAAGCTCGAAAAAAATATCTAAAGGATGAGGCAAGTGTGATGAAAACAGGTTTTTTGAGAGCAAGCTCAAAATAAACAAGTTTAAAACAGCCGCTTCAGAATTCTAGAATTATTAAAATTTTACAGAAGACTCCATGAAAACTTGAATTTTTTCAATGATGAAAAGTTGAAAAGCTAATCACATTTTGATAACGTTTCACAAAGAGCAACTAGATCATGCGCGATGATATATTAACTCAAATATTAGGAATTAGCAGTGTTAGGATTCAACATATACCGTCAACAGATTCTTAAGCAAGAAAAAAACTTGGATGTCGAAATGAGTTAAACTGCAAGCACAAAAAGACGCAAAATTGAAAATGTGACTTGTTTTTGCATAATATTGTTTTTTCAATTGGAGAAGATCTTTTTTCAAGTGTTACAGTAAGCATTGGGGCTCTGGTTTGTTATTAATTACGTAATTAATCTACATCTTTGTTTGTGATAATAATTCCTTTTCTAAACAGGTTGTTTCGTTTTTTGGATTATGTCTAAGTGATGTAATCTATTAGAATACGCGAAAGGATTTGGCCGATGAAGATAGCACGCGACAAGCTAGTGCTTTTTTTGTATTCGTTCAACCCAAGATAAAGTGCAACCGCACATTTTCATACAATGTTTTTACACAAGCAAAACTTGTGAGATAGTTTGAACTCTCTTTTTTTCAACATAAGTCGCAAAAATTGGTGCGAAGCAAATATTTTTGCGACAAAATGTATTCATTTTGAAAGTGTTCATTTTGATCAATAACCAGCTATTAAGTAGAGCCATTGCTAAGGATATTAACGCAGACTATTATATTACAAATAGCACTTTAACTTCAAGGTATCATGGATCTAGCGTAGAGGTAGTGAAGGGGACCCGCAAAAAATTAAGAGGGTTCGAGCCTGGGCAGGGTCGGATGTTTGTATACTTTGGAACTTTTTTGTATACTCATTGAAATGCGTCCGCTCTATAAATTGAGGCATGTTACTTGGTAAATTTCTTCTTTTTTTTTCAAACTGACGGGTATTGCTAATGCGTCACAATTGGCGTGCGTCACTTAAAAAATTTTGTAGACTCATAGTTTTACTCATTCAGTTTTTCCCAGTAGCGTTATTGGTCATATTTTTGCTTGTGTACGCGAAATGCAACTTCGCCTCTGTGTTAAATTTTAAGGCTATATTCTAAAACGTCCTAGGTAAATGAATTTATGGCACTCTAATTTGGAAGACATTTTTTTTCGAAAATCTTATATAGTCATGTTGTTTTGCAGAATTACACCAATTGAGAAAAAAAAGATAAATTTTTGAGTGCAATTTCGGCCTTGAATACTGGGCTATTTATGAGAAAGTCATATGTTTTTCAGAAGTAGAAATTTCCAAATAAAATCTTGAACAAAAATTTCTAAGCTTTTATCTTTGATATGCTGATGCCAAACAAAGCCTTCCAATTGCGAGTCTCAAAGATCTTGAGGTTCTCAAAGTTTCAAGGTCTCGAGATAAACAAATTTTTCTTTCATTTTTCAATTTTCTTGAACAAGTGATATGTTTTACTCTGACTCAATTTATGGTTATTATCGTATTAGGCTAGTAAAACATATTTTTTGCCATGATTATGGCTGTTTTTGATGAAACAGAGCATGTCGGCCAGCGGCTCTGACTAAAACTCGAAAATTCGATTTTAATTTTCATGAAATAAAATTTCCAAGTTGAAACTCGAAAATGCACCATGTTTTTCTTGGATTGATAGTTCTGACTGGTTGTAAGCTCAGTTTTTCTATGCAGCTGTGTGGGTTTGCTGCTATTTTATAAATTTTTTGTACCATTTTTTATTAGGTTTTATTAGGAGATCAACGCCTTAATCTTGTGAAACTGTCATGCTTTGCCTTGAACTTTTTTAAAGCTATTTGATTACTGAGTTTTATGATAGCTAGCATTGTTTTTATATTTGAAGTTCTCTTCTGTTTGACTGATTGTTTGCGAAGAGTTACTTTTGCCTGTATATCATCTAATAATAAATATATACACGTCACATGTTAAAGCGCATTTTCGCCTATTATGTTTTTTTTGTAAACGTGGGGTGATAATTCTTCTTGCATTTTTTAGGCAACATCTTAAAGTTAAAAGTAAAGGCAACATGCTTTCGAAATCTTCAAAAATAGAAATTCGAAAGAATGTTTGGTCAAAATATCGTTTGGTTTTATTTTCAGCCAGAAAATTGTTCGCAAATCAGTTGTGTTTTATTTGGCGCATTATTAAAAACATTGCTCTCTTTTTCAAATAAAAATTAATTCAAACCAACCAAGCTTTATACAATTTTTCATTTTAGCTCTATGTAAATGAACTGTGCAATGCATCGCTTTGCTTGAAAGTAATATTTTCTTCGCTTACTATTTTCATGCAACCTTTCAAAAATACGAACAATTTGACCACGGTTAAACAGCAAAGTGCTAATTACTTGTCCAAGTCAACCTGTATATTCATCTTTATTCAGTTTTTTGTTCCTATACTTTGAATAAGGTTTTAAAACTGGAAGCTCAATTTCAGTTTTATAGTTTATTTTGATCATATCGTGTCTGGTTAGTACATTGACTATCTAGTTGTTAACCAATGAGTGAAGAGGACTGGGAAGCGACACCGCTCGAAGGGTAACTTGAAACATTCGACAATTCACAAATATGAAAATATAAGTTTGAATACAGAGAAAAAAATCAAGTTTCAAATATTTTCAGTCATAATTTTATCTAAACTACAAAATATCAAAAAAGTTTAGTCTGTTTTCGGCTGTGAACACGATTACTTTGCTGTCCAATATATCTGTTGGAGCGATTCCACTTTTTCAGCAATCCTAATTTGATTTTGTGCTGAGCCAATTTTTTCCGAGTCTTGTTCGTTTTGCGTTTTTAAAGGTGCAGCTTTACCTCTGAGTGATTTTTTTGTTATCATTTCGCCAAAGCAGTAAATATTCGCAGAATTTTGTTAAAATGATCAAAAAATCTTGATGATTTGAACTTCTGACTGAATTTGGTGAACTGTTGGATGTTTCAAAAAGACGGCGACTGGAACGCACTCGTGATGACAACAACGGCAGACAAACAGAAGAAGGTGACGAACCCCCCCAGACAGAACGACGTACGAAATGCAAACAGACATAGCAGACTAGGCATAGAGACCAATCAATATCATATCTTTGAAGTAAATTTGCTAAATGTTTTTGTATGTTTGTTTGATTTGCATTTTATAGCTTTTAAAAGGCGATTCAATGCATTGAAGGGTACCTAATTAGGCATTTTTGATCCGACCATTGAAAATGGGGAGGAACTCTACTTTCGGATGTATTTTAGTTTATCTTTTTCTCTTGTTTTTTGTTTTCTTTTTTTAGTTCAAGTTCGAGCCAAAAACACGATCAAGAAACGTTCATTATATGGAAATTAATTTTTTTAAAATCTTTTTAGGCCCATAAAATTTCATTTTACTATCAAGAAAACTAGTGTTGAATTTTTCTTTCAGCGCATATTCGACAATAAGATTTTCAAAAAAAATTTAAAAAAATTGTACGAAAAAATTAGAAAACTCTAGGATCTAGGATTTTCTCGAAGCCGGGGCGGATTTTCAAAAAAAATTGAAAATTTTGACGACCTTTTTTTAGGACGACCAAATTGATTTTTCGAGCTTTCTCAAAGCACTGAAAAGTTCCTGTTCTTGCCGAAATGTCTGCACCGCAGGCAAATTTTTGAAAAAAAAACAGGTCAAAACAGATGAATCTATCATTTTTCCTCAAGTTTTTTCCCTTTTAGTTACTAAAAAAATAACCCTATGAAAAAATAAATAAATAGCTTTTAGTTTTTTCTTTCATAGGACTATTTTTTTGTTAGCTTGCAAGTTTGCCATAAATTAGTCTGCAGGAAGAATTCTTCTTAAGAGCAGGCAAGTACATTTATGAAACTTTTGTTTTTTTACTCTCCCAGTTTATTTTTTTTGACAGTCTAAAAACTTTTGTATTGTGTGCATATATTGTGTGCATTAAGGATGTTAGTTTCCAGAAAAATAAACACATACAGGCTCCAAAATGTTTTGTATCCTGGCTTTTGAAATAGTTTTCCGCAAAAATTGAAGATATAAAGACAGCAGTTATGATTTTCTTATCAGCAGCCTAGAATTTTTTCGACCTTTTGAATTTTTTTCGAATTTTTGAAATAAAAATTAATTGAAAATTTACAGCGAAAAATCCGAATTATTATAGTATCTAACATGTAATGCATAGTATGTCTGGTTGGTATTAGCCAATCGAACCAAAAATTCATCGTCTGAATCAAACCGAGAGCAGAATGAAGTAAACAATAACAACAACGACAGCGGAAGAGGCCTCAAAAAATCGAGAAAGAGAAAGTCAAAAAAGAAGGCAAAGGTCAGGTTTGCAAGTGAAGAGGAACAAGTGGTGAGTGCAATTATTGTATGTATAGTCGGGGGTAGATGTAGGGGGGTGGGGGTGGGCGAAGGGGCGTACGTTTCTTCTCTTGGCTGACGGAGCTTTGGCGCCAATATATACTAATTTTGAGGGAGTAGTGCGCGAAATTTTTCAAAAAGTGCCTAAACGCCTTTTTTGATCTGTTTTTAGTGCTTTAGGTCTTTTAGTGGTATGAGAGAGCTCAGAAAATCAATTTGATTGACCTAAAAAAAAGGTCGACAAAATTTTCGAATTTTTTTTTTGAAAATCCGCCCCCCCCCCGCGAGAAAATCCTAGATCCGCCCCTGTGGATAGTCAAGGACAAATTGTAATCAATAGTCTTTTAAGTAAGCGAATCTAAACGAAATTAATTAACCTAAAACTGCTCTTTTTTATTGTTGGAAACCATTTGTTTTTACGTATTTCAGCAATTGAACAACCGTTTCAAAAATTTCAATTCTGAGCTATTTTCTGAGGAAAAAAAGATGCTCAAGGCTACCTATATGGTCAACATTTTGATATTGAATATCTAGAAAAATTAGAATCATTTCACATCAACTCAAATAAAAAATAAAACTTCAACATGCAGTTTTTAAGTTAAATTTTTGCGTTAACCACTATTTAATGTTTTTCAGTTGGTAAATTCTTTCGGAACTCCGCTCTGTGTTTGCAATTTCGGTTTTCTGAAGTAATTTTTTAAAAGTGAAAATTAAATTTTACACCATAACATTTTTCTCTTGTTATCTGCAGTTTTGTATTTGATAGTAAGATTTAAAATATGATATTTGACCGGAAAATTTTTTGCGAATTTTGGTATTTTTGTAAACAGGATCTGGCGATTGCACCAGTGGCCGACGAACGAGACGGACTTCCTGTGACGTCAGATGAAGCAAGCACCATCGCCGACTGGGAACAGACTACCCAACTTCTCTCGTCGACTCTTCAGAACATGGACGACGAGATGATTGCATCATCGCTGATGCGCACCCAGTACATCGACATAGCTCCAAATAGCGACCAGTTCGAACAGCAGGAGACCCAGAGACGCTACAGCAGTCCTAAGAGTCGCGATCGGAAAGAGCTTCAGTCGGTAAGTAATTATACCACCTATAGTTAACTTCCATTCTTGACAAAATCCTTTTCGGCCAACAAATCTAAACGAAGTTAGATAATCCAGAACCAGGGGCGTATAAAGAAGGGAGGCGGACTCCCCCCCCCCTCAAGGATTCAACCTATTCACCAACCTGCTCAGAACTGCCCATTTTGAGGTCTGAAACTAATTTTTTAAAACTATTCTATAAACGTAAAAACCTTTAATAAGCACCGTTTTTTGAGGTGCTCATGATCGCTGATATTGTCACGAGCTTAGCGTTTAATTTACATGTACACCAGACTAGCTTGTCTTGAAACTGAAAAATTCAAACATATAAAAAGTATGACGCAAACATCATCAGTTTTCCTGTTTAATTTCGCAGAGCGCATTACATTCGCGTCGATCTAGATTTTTTTTTTTGCTGCGGCAAATATTTTTGAAGTTTTTTTCACATTTGTTTTTAATCACTTCCAAATTTTAAGCAGTTTTCCAAAACAGCAGGTCACAAAAGTTTGGAATTTGTTTTTAATTAACAGTTTGATAATGAGCAACCAAATGACGGCAACAAAGGTCGCCACTTTCCCCGAGCAGATCCCGACCCGAATAGGTCCAACATGAACAACAGTTATGTCACAATGCATGGCGGCAAAACCGAAGACGGCAACGACACGAAAGTCGAAGATGACTCGGGGAGAAAAAATAAGAACGAAGTGAACGATACCCAAATATCGAAACGAACTGTGAATGAGATCTCGTTTGACACGACTTATCAGATACCGAATAACGAGACGACAATCAGACTGAACAGAAATGATGTTTTGGGTTAGTTAATTTGTTTTGTTATTTTTTTGTGGTTTTGATATTTATCTCTCCTCAATGTATTGCATCAACGAGCTTGCGATTGTTGTCTTATACGATTTGTCTTCTCAACCCAATTAGCGCATTCTACTGCAAAGTTGTTGTGCAAAGTTAATCAAAATAATCGTTTCTGCGAGAATTTGTATACACTTTTGAAGATATCGCCGCCCTGAGCCCAAACGTATACTTCACCCGCAATCATTTTTTTCGATCTTTTCATTTTTGTTAATTTATTAAGAGTACAGTGCTGATTTAAATTATCCGGACAAAATAAACAAAACTTGAATTTTCAAACGCGTTTTTCTCAAATTGGGTCAAAAAGTGAACAGAACAAAAGTTGCTTAGAATCTCATCAAAGTTAATATGATGCAGTTTTTTCTCCGAAATTCTCAACCAAAATTTTACCCCAAAAATGGGTCATTTTGGCTTTTTTCAACTAATCAAGAATTACACTGAAACTACTTTGTTAATTGATGAGAAAATTGAATCACAAGAAGCCTGCTATATAGCCCAACAAAGTTTAAGAAGAGTTAAATCTCCAAAAACCAGTATTAGAGAAAAAGTTTGTACTTCATAGTCAATAAATGTGATTTCTACTACGTAAAACCCAGCATATCTGTTAAAAAACAAATTTTAAACAATTTGCGCAAACTTAACCCTTCTTAAACTTAAAATTTAACCCTTCTTAAGCTTTGTTGGGCTATGTAAGAGGCTTCTTGTGATATAATTTTCACATCAATTAATAAAGTATTTTCAGTGTAATTCTTGATTAATTGAAAAAAACCAAAATGACCCATTTTTAGGGTAAAATTTTGGTTGAGAATTTCGGGGAAAAAATTGCACTATTTTAATTTTTATGAAATTCTAAGCAATTTTTGTTCTCTTCTTTTTTTGTCTAATCTTAACCCAATTTGAGAAAAATGCGTTTCAAAATTCAAGTTTTGTTCGTTTTGTCCGCATAATTAAAATCAGCACTGTATTTATAGGCAATTTTTTTGCACTTACCTATGAAGCTGACAGCGTGAGCGGAACCTGAATGAGCGCGGCAAATAGATCCAAAGACCGAAATAGTTCAAATAATCAATCCAAACTGATTTGAGGCAATCCATATGGTTGCATTAATTTTTCTTCTATACTCTAATGATTACACTTGCGATCAGCTTTGTGTTCATATAATGAACCTGCTTTTTTTCTAACCTAACTCGCAAATGAAAGTGTTCACTTGGAAATTTCACTGTAGCATTGGAAAATGCATAGCATCTGTTCTCTGTTTTATTTGTGACTGAGTGGTTAATGGATCCTATTAAGCTTCGTGTGCGAGACTCCTAATCTCTAGTTCGCAGGTTCAATTCTCAGAAGTAGATGAAATTTAGCTAATTCGAGGCTTATTTCTTATTTTTTATTGCACTTTATAGAGCTGCTTTTTTCGTGTTCTCGCAAGTGTTTGCGAAGCCAAGCTTTGCCTCCGAGTAATTTTGTTATTCCTACTTCCTGTTATTTTTTCAAGGAGAAAATGAAAAAAAAATGTGCTCGGGAAGGTTTTTCCCCAGACAAGTTTCGAGTTATAAACTAGCAAGTTTCGTCAAAGTTTTTAAACAATGTGCATTATATTGATGCCGTGAGCTCATACTCAGAAACGTTTTCTGCGACCATTTTTTGCTAAGTCTGAAAATTGCCCACATGGAACTTATTTCGCGCAATGTTTCCAGTTTTCTAATAGCACCTGGCGTAGACAGTGAATTAGCAAGTCTCAGAAACCATTAAGAACTGAGCAGAGGCCAGCTAATTGTTTCAAATAATAAGCTCATATACACAAAAAATTTCTATTTGTAAACGAAATTGCGTAGAGCGAGAATTTTTTCCGAATTTGAATTATTTTTAAGCCACAAATTACTACATATTTTAAGGGTAGTCGAATTTTTCAATGTTCCGCTCTGATACAAGGAGCAGTACTTGAAGTTGATTGTGGTTTAAAGCCTTTTGCTCTATTTTTTGCTTTTTCAGTCCGATCACATTTTTGCTTTTTTAGTCCTATGGCTTGGGTGTTTTTGTTTTTGCCCATTTTTGGGTACTACAAAAAAAACTCGCTGGGAGTCAAATACACCATCTTATCAAAATTGTGCTGGTCGTGATTTCAATTTTAAAAAATCTCTGTCAAAAAATTTGGCCTAAATTTTTTCAAACTAAATGAAACAAAACATAGAAATGACCCGATGAGAGGATAAACTAGATCTTTTTTGCATTTTGAACAATATTTTAGCTATTATTGCAGATCTTTTAGTAGATCAAAAATTAAAAGTTATGTTAAGGCAAATATGACTGCTTCTACTGCCTTCTTTTTTACTGTCACGTTAAGACAAATTATTTATTCATTTGTAAATTGTGGTTTTCTAAGTGCTGATAAATGAAGTAAAATTCAAGTAATTTAACATGCCTGATTTTTGTTTTTTGTTAATCAAAGCTTTTTACGCCCAACTTTCCATGCCCTTAAAAAAATCCCATTCCACGTTACTCCAAAAGTGTTTTTTTTTCCTTAGGTTGCAATTGCAAGATTGTTTTGTATGTCTTATAACTCAATGTTTGCAACTCGCTAGATAAAATTGATGTCGTTTCTCGGTTTATCTGTTGTGCATTGTCATCATTTTATTGAAAACTCTTCTGCTTTAGAGGAAAGTGAAACGCCTGCATCAACAATGGAAGCAGAAATATATGGGATGACGGAATCTCCAGGAAATTACGGTGAAATCGACACCCCTCTTCTAGAACCCCAGATAATATCGCTTCCTCGCTCGGAAGTGACTCTGGTCCTGGTCAACATCGGATGTCCGGAAACATATCAGCAAGATTTCCAGGCATGTTTGCTGACATTCCCATTCTTTGATCTCAAAAAGAAACGCAGATTAGTCAGTTTTGCTCAAGTACTGATAGTTTATAATATTTGTTAAAAACAACGTGAACTTTCTCCAAATTTTTATGCATTTCGCTTTGTTAAATTGTGGCGCTCGGGTAGCGATGATGCCCAGCAATCATATGATTACTGGTTCGTATCGCGCGTGCGCTCCAATTTGCAAGGTGAGCTCTTGCAAGTAAGTCATAGCTTAATAGGTGCTTGTTATATACTCTCTTGTCAGTCTAAATAATGAACCTTTGGGATATGCCTCCGGGTTGGTTGACTAAAAAAATGGAAAATAGATATATATTTTTTGAAATCTTGTAATTATGCGGTTTAAATAGTTTATCTGGAATTTTTATAAAATCTTTTTTTATTACTAACTGCTTCTTGAAAGTTTAATTATTAAAAATGATAACTCTTTTCAACTCCCCTCCACACATTTCAAAGTTTTAATTTTTTTCAGTTGTCTTACGTGTTATTATGGCTGAAGCGTGATTTTACGATGCAAGTATGTATTCACAAAAATTGGTTTGTTCACCATGCAAAATTTCATTACAATATGACTGCGTAAAATTTGTTTTTCAAAACTGAAATTCAAATGTGGGGGGGGGGGGGGGGGAGGGGTTTGAAAAGAACCAAAATGAACTCTTAAACACTGTTCTGTAGGATTTGATTCGAGAAGTGAACAACGTACAAATCCTCGGCCAATTCTTTGTCGTCTCCGACATCCGACTCGTCAGCTCGGAAAATCCGACTTCGGCCGGCATATTTTCGAAAAGCAACCAAGACAATTTATTCGTGATGGCATTGTACGACGCGACCAAAACGAATGAAGACAGTTTGAAGAGGTTGAGATCAAATTTTGAGAAGGTGAAGTTGCCACGTGAACATATTTTGCTGTGTGGAATTTGCCCAGAAGGAACGAAAGTTGAAGAAAATTTTGACGTCGGGTCAGTATTACGTTTAATTTACCAACCAACTTAAGATATAGTCTCATTGCAGTTAATTAGCATCAAAACGTGCCCGTAACATTTGGAATTTTACCGATCTCTTCTGAACACCCAGAATGTTCATATTGGGCAAAGATTTCGGCGCCAAAGGCGAGGTTTCAAAAAAAAATTTGAGCATTTTTTGAAAAATTTTAACCAAAAACTTTCGTTTTTCACTCAAAATTAATGTTCAAAAAATAATTTTTTTCATGGTTGGTCAGCAAGAGATGAGTGAAAAGAACTCTGCTTCCCCTTCCCCTCCTCGGTACGCTGCTGGGTGTGGTAAACTTTGCGCCCTCATCCTCACAAAAAAACCCGGGTTAAAGTCCATAGAAGAAAAATGCTTATCATACAGTTTCATACATGAAGTCTATGAAAATGATGCTTATCATACAAATTTCATACAAAACTTAAAAATTGTTAAAAAAAATTTCAATGAACATTTTAGGTTTTTTGCTTTTTTGAAGCTTTCTGGTCAATAAAAAATGATTTAAAGTTTTCGATAAAACAATGCTTTTCATACAATTTTCATGAATGAAATTATAAGATAATCATTTTGTCATAGAAAAAATGAAATTTCCATAAATCAACAAAAAACGTGTCTGCGTAACTTTAAATAGATTTAAATTATTTTATCTAAGATAGAGGTCATTTTGACAATCAAAAACATAATTTTATTTTCGGTCGGAAAAATGCTTGTCATCTAATTTCCATACATGAAAATTGTATATGCATTTTTTCATAAACAAAAACACAAATTTGCGGTAAAACAAAATTTAATCCTTTTTTTGGTTGCAAACTTGCTTTTGTGCTCAAATTAAACTTAACGAAAAAAAAATTGCTTGCATAATTTGACTGTTTGCTTATAACGTAGTCCAGGATAAACTTTTCAGCCAATAAATCCAAAAAACACAAAAAGTGTTTTTTTGTTCCATTTGCTAAAATAAAATTAAATTTCTAAAAAAAAACGGCCTATTTTTCTCAACCACCAAAATATTCAAACTAAAACTCATCTAGCCATATACAAAAAGTTACATTTATAGAATATAATTCCAAGTGAAAATGTTAAAATTAACTTACATGGCTAAAATCACCAGTTTATCTGCGTGGTAACTGCCAGTTACACTCTGGGCTTTCTTATGACGAAAAATCTTTGGTTAGTGTTTCGGATGACCCCCAAAACTTCAAAAAAAATTTTGTGTTTTCATTTAAGGAAAAAATGCTTGTCAGACAATTTCATAGTATGGAAAAAAAAGCTTATCATACAATTTCATAGTATGGAAAAAATCTTATCATGCTATTTTTATACAATTTTGGGGATAAAAAACTGATTAAAAAGCTTAAATTTTAATTCCAGTGTATGGAAAAAAATGCTTGTTATAAAATTTCATGGAAAAGTTGTTTCTTTTGCTACTTTCATAGATTTTCTTTTGCTCTATGAAAGAGTAGGATAAACTTTTTTTTTCATATATGAAAATTGTTTAAAAAGCATTTTTTGTCAACCCGGAAAGACATCTGAAAACAACATCGAAAAAATTAGCCCCTGTTCCACAGTTCCCATGATTATTGTTTTTCCAAATCTGCTTCTTGATTTTTATCCAAAGTTTTCACCAAAAAGTTAGTTGAAGTATGAACGCAAAGTTTAAAATAAGCCAATATTTATTAGATTTCAAATAGCCGTATGTCACGAAAAATTGTAAAGTCTGTCAAAATTTTCAGCAGTATCTTATGGTTCCTACCTTTTTTTGTTTTTTCCCGCAAAATCAGTTACCACAAACAATAATCGGACTGGGTTGAGTGATATGTCATTTTAAAGCTCCTACAGTCGTGATTGAAACGACATTGATAAATTTCAAAAAGTTTTCCCTGTGTTGCATTTTTTGATTTTTCGAGCAAATAAAGCGAGCGAGCAGTCTTATTTTAACTGCTTAAAAGCTTACAATAGCTTAATTTTTAACAAAAAAAAATAGTTTACTTGAGTAACGTTACTTTGAGTATTTAAGCGCTTTTTTGGAACCAAAGTTTTAAAAAAATAAAAATACTGCAAAACTTGAAAAAAAAATTGTTTCCATTTTCAAGTAAAATTTCTGAAAAATTGTTGTTCAATTGACTTATTTTAGTATGACTGTTGAATATACCTAATCTCCAGTTTTTTTTCAGCTTCTTTTATCACACCACACCAAAAAAAAACGACATTTGTTTGAAAAAATTTTGTTGTATTTTTTTAAGACTATGGTCAGAACATTCTGTGCCACTCGCACAGTAATCGGCTGTTTTTGTTTGCTTGCACAGTAATCGGCTGTTCTTGTTCTTTATTCTCGATTTTATACAGAAAAGTCTGCAAATTTACGTAAGGATAGATTCGATTTAGTTACAACCATTTTGCGAACGATAAGCGATTCTTTACAGATAGCATCTTTTTTTCCACCAAACAAAATCGGTTTTTAGTGCCAAAATAATCAATTGTTATTTTCTATGAAATCTTTATAAAATCTTGAGATAATCTGCACGTAGTCAGTTTATACATAAATTTACTAATTTACAATACACAGTAGATAATCTGTAGATAATATATAGATAATCTGTAGATAATCTGTATAAATTTATAGGGGTTGTGATCATTTATTTTTTGACCATTCAAAATTTAAATTAATGATTCTTTTTTTTTCACAAATTTAACAAAAATTTGTAGTCAGGAAAGATTTTTCTTGGTGTTACAATGAGCTGAATTCAATAGAAGAAAATTGTTTACCGAAAACTACAAGTTTCAAGAGATCCCTCTAAGATTTCGCAATTTAAGGGTTCCCGCGGAAAAGAGTAATTTCTTGCAAAACTTCCTCAAATGTCATTTAAAAGATCAACTTCTTCAGCGCAATTTTGAGAGAAAACATCCATAAAAATTAGAGAAGTTAACATAGAGCAATTAGTTTTGGCTGCAACTTATTTCCACAAAAATGATTTTAAAGTTTTATTTCAGATCAAACATCAGTACAAAAATAGCATCGAAAAGCCTACATTATAGTTTTGTTTCAATTTACTCATATTGTCTGATTGGCGAGAATGTTGCGAAAATCAGTATAAAGTCTGTATATAGTCTGTATATAATCTGTATATAATCTGTTTTTAATCAGTATATAATCAGTTGATAATCTGTAGATAATCTTTAAATAATCTATATACAATCTGTATATAGTATGGATGCAATTTGATGCAGAAAAATAGTTTAAGAATGTTCTGATAGTGGTTATATGATGAAGATATAAAACAGTATAGAACTTTTGCAAAACAAAATGCATTATAATTGATTATTAGATTTACATAATCGAAATTTTACTAGATAAAATTACAACAGATCTGAAACCTGTAAGATTAAGACTATGCTCGGAACATTCTGTGCCACTTGCTCAGTAATCTGCTATCCTTGTTTGCAATTTATATACATTGATAGATTTTATGGTTGTATAAATCTAGCCGAAGGATAAGCAGGCTGCCATATTAAACCAGCTAAAGATTTATAGTGTTTACGTAATCATTATCTAAAAACTGCTGTGAAAATCAATTGAATGCGTCAATACAAATGACTTAGCTTATGGCTGGTGTTACACGCTGCTACTTTTGGTTCGGATTTGATTTGGCCAAAGGTTGAATAAACCCGAATAAACCCATGTTGAATAAAGACAAATCAAAACCCAACTATTTTAGCCTTTTCGCCCTGAAGAACAAAATGCTGCACAAGATTTGTCACCTGACATTCCCAGCTGTCTCGCAATCCATCGAGTGGGCAATCAGGATGCGCCTGGACTCCACCTCCCAGATCACCCTCGTGCCCTCCCGATCCACCCCCGGCTCACCTGTTGTGAACAGACTCGTGTCCGACAAACACTTCGACTCCGTGTCCGTCAATCACAAACACGATATCGATCTGACATTCTCCGTCTGTTTAATTGGACCTCCGAGATCTGGAAAGTCCAATATAGTACAGAGGTTCGTCTACAATTCGTATCAGGAGTTGTACCAGAAAACAATCGGCGCCGACTTTCATCAAAAAGATGTTCGATTGAATCATAAAAATCTGCGACTTCAAATGTGGGACTTCGGAAAAGGTTTCGAAACTATTGTCGAAGATCATTTGGTTTCAGCGCGATGTGTGATCGCAGTTTTTGATCACACAAGTAGGAGTTCGCTCGAATCTTTGTCAAACATGTTAGACGAATACAGCGGAGTCTTATCCGATAAAGTTCTCGTGATAGCCGGAACAAAGTCAGACTTAAACGAAACCGATATCAGAAAATCAAGCGAGATCCAGTGTGTCGCGGAGCGCTTCAGTGCCATCGGGTGGTTCCCTGTCAGCAGCAAAACAGGCGAAGGGTGTGGAAAACATGCTAGTTGATTGCTGTATAATGGTGATGCAAACGGAGAATTTTGAGAAAAAAGATTACACACATGAGCGAAACCACGGAAATCGAAGATCAATTGGCGAAATCGGGAATCATAAGCAATCATCCACTTGTACTATTATTTAGCTTTCAGTAACTTCATTAAAAATTCAAATTTAAAGTCAAACTTGTTTTTCCAGCCTTAACCGTTTGTTTTGTGTAAAAAAAATATATTTTTAGCTCAATTACTGCAGATAACGATGGCCTTTAAAATTCATAACTAAATTAAAAGCAGTTTTGTGCAATCTAGATTAATTATTACGTGTACAACTTCACCGTACAAAGCACTTTAGAAATCCACTCTGCACTTAAATTTAGCCTGATGCACCCGTGTTGCGCAGTTAGATTGGCAGGTAGCAAAACATCCTTTGCCAAGTTTTTTGGGCGTAGAACGACAAAAGAATTGACAAGAAACCTCAACAAGCTTTCTCGAGAAATTATCTCAATTACAGAGAATTATCTGCACGCTTGTTAAACATGCTTGCTACCCGGTAAGACAAGCGTGCGGATAATTCTTTGTGATTGAGATAATTTCTCGAGAAAGCTTGTTGAGGTTTTTTATCAGTTCTTTTTGCGTTCTACGCCCAAAATACTTGAGGAAGGACGTTTCACTACCTGCCAATCCAGCAAGATTTTAGAAATATATATATATATATATATATATATATATATATATATATATATATATATATATATATAAATTAACTTTCTGAATCAGGAATTTTTAAGCTAAATTTGATCATGTTGAATTAGTTGGCTAAACTCAAGCTATCTGTCAAGGTTAAAAAATAGATTTAATGTTTTTTCCACCTCAAGATTTTTTTGATAATGCAATGAATGCTATTTTCTTAAATCATTTAACAATGTGCACCTTACAATATGAATTGAACCAAAAATATATAACCCGAAAAGAGAACTGATAACAAAAAACCTTGTCTTGAGTTTTCCCCAAAGTTATTCGGTTTGTTAGAATTATCAGGTTTGGTTACCCGGATTATTGTACCATAATGTTTGATCATGTTGAATTAGTTGGATGAACATCAAACTAAATCTATTTTTTATCCTTGGCAGAGAGTCTGAATGTTTTTTTTAAACCTGAAGATTTTTCTGATAATACAGTGCTGATTTAAATTAACCGGACAAAATGCGTTAAACTTGAAATTTAAAACCCGTTTTTCTCAAATTGGGTTGAGTTTAGGTGAAAACTTATGAAGACAAAACTTGCTTAAAATTTTAGCAGTATTAATATGGTGTAATTTGTTTTGCGAAATTCGGGCCCATAATTTTACCCCAAAAATGGGTCATTTTGGCTTTTCTTATTTAATCAAAAATTACGCCGAAAATACCCAGTCGATCACAGACATAATTATATCAAAGTGAGCTCCTTAGGTAGCCCAACAAACTTTGAGAGGGTATAATCTCCTAAAAATTGTATAAGTTAATTTATTTTTGTTTGATAGACAAAAAAGGTCGTTTTTACTATATAAATTAGCAACTTTTTCTTTGAAAACAATTTATAAACGATTTGCAATTTTTTTTGAGAATATACCCTCCTTAAAATTTGTTGGGCTACGTAAGGGGCTCACTTTGATATAATTATGTCGGTGATCGTCTGGGTATTTTCGGCGTAATTTTTGATTAACTAAGAAAAACGAAAATGACCCATTTTTGGGGTAAAATTATGGGCCCGAATTTTGCAAAACAAATTACACCATATTAATTCTGCTAAAATTTTAAGCAAGTTTTGTCTTCATAAGTTTTCACCTAAACTCAACCCAATTTGAGAAAAAAGGGTTTTAAATTTGAAGTTTGACGCGTTTTGTCCGGTTAATTTAAATCAGCACTGTACAATAGAAATTCACGATTGCACTGATCCATTATTAAATCCAGACAAAAAACTGCAACAAGTACTGTTCCAGTATATGATTGTGAGTCTGCTTTAAAAAATGTCGCAAAACGACTATTTAACATAAAGATACTGTTATAGCAACCTATTCGTCTTAAAGTTAAATAGAACAAAACTTTTTGCACCAAATCGAAGCCCTGAATATTTCGACTGCCTTTTAAGACTGCTTGACTCAGATTCGCTTCACAAAACTTAATAAGTTCGAAAAAAAACAAAAGGTTTGTTGAGATTTTTTTTGTAAAGTACAAAAAGATATTATTTGCAAAAAGCGAAGTTTTAAATAGACCAAATGGCGTGGCTCATTTTAAAATGGAATGATTCTGATACTGACTGGATCTTCCCGTCCTATGTGTTAATAGCACGGAATATATAGCGCATTGAATATCCCAAATTGGTGCAATTACCAATTTTCGAACCCCCCAAAATTTAACAAAAACTGATCAGAGCTGATTTATAGTTTTAACTTTGAGCCCAGGAAGATTTTTCTAGCTCAGCTTAAAACCCTGGATTAATTACGTTTGCCCTCTTTCTTCCGAATTTAAAAAAGTCACAGAATAATTGCGCTCGATTGGTTTTTTCTCCAGATAAGTTTTGTCTTTTTTACTTGTAATTTTAGACTAATTTTTAAAATCATATCAAAAAGTATCGTCTTCCTGAGCTCAAAATTAAAACTATAAAATTTTAAAAATTAGTCTAAAACTACAAGTAAAAAAGACAAAATAATATTTGTCTGGAGAAAAAACCCATCGAACGCAATTATTCTGTAGCTTCTTTAAATTTGGAAGAAAAAGGGGAAACGTAATTAATCCAGGGTTCTAAGCTGAGCTAGAAAAATCTTATGCGCAGTTGCTTCCAAAGGTTATCCTCTAGCTGAAATCTAATACACTTCACGGAGTCTTACGTGAGTCACTCCTCAAAAGCATGTGTAGCATCAGTAGTGGAAATAGAGAGGATGGAAATAGTGGAAATAGACGCCCCCATTCAAGCCTTTGACCGCCTGCTGACCCAAAGGGTCAGCATTTGTACTTTTTTGTGATGTCCATAATTGGCTGACCTTCAGCCATAAATTACATTATTTTTGAGGGGAAAATTCGCTCCGAGGAAACCCAATTTTTAACTAGTTTTCCAAAAAGAGCATAAAAACGCCTTTTTGGCCTATTTTGTTTTTCAAGTTTTTTTGAAAAATCTTGTCAAAAACAGGTCTTTATAAGAAATTGGGAGAGCCCAGAGTATCAATTTGGTTGACTAAGAAACAAAATGTCCAAAAAGTTTAAGAAATTTTTTTATATGCCCGCTCGAGAAAATTATATAACCGAGGCTGTGTATTGTCTTGAATGGAGAGGAAGTTCAGAAGGTTTAGAAGAAAAATGTTTGAAAAAACCAAAACAACTGCTGTAACAATTGTAACTGCTGTTTTTTCTTTAAAAAAATTGTAAAATTTTGTAAATATTGCATTTCAAACCATTTTTGAATGAACCTTAAAATTTCATAAACGCAGAAGCGGAAAATTACTAAGAGCAAGTTTGGAAGTTTTTTTAGACTGATCGGAATCTGCCCAATTTATCCTAATTTTGTCAAAATGTAACATACATTGTCGTAAAGTTGCTTTTTGTACATAACGAAAATAACTTCCCATAACTTTTTGTGTTGCTCAGCAGAGTCACCATAAATTCCCAAATCAGCGCCACAAAAGCCAACTTTTTCATGATAAATGATTTACTTAACAATCACTTCCTAAGTTATCTAGTAAAGAATCACGATCTCTATAAATAACTACGTTAAATTAGCACTAGAGCTTTGTACTTATAGTTATTATTTTCAACTTAACCTACTTGACAATCCCCGTCTCTTGAAAGGGTAAAATTGTTAAGTAGGTCCGGTTTAAGGTATGCATTAATGGTAAAAACGCGGACACTTGGCTTCAATAATTCGTTTTTAAGGATAAACTGTTTTGCCGCTTTCTTGTCCCTATAACTAGAAATTCAATAAATAAGCACTAGAGCTTTCTAATTATAGTTCTCATTTCAACTTAACCTACTTGACAATCCTCTTCTCTTGAAGGAAGTAAAATTGTTAAGATTTTCCGGTTTTTGGTATGCTTTATAGGTAAAAACGCGGACACTTGGCTTTTAATAACTTGTTTTTTTTTCTAGGATAAACTGTTTTGCCGTTTTCTTGACCCCTATAAAAAATTAGTAGTTTAGCTTTAGAGCTTTGTACTTATAATTATAAATTGTAATGTAATCAAGTTAACGTTTTGCTTTTCTTAAAAGGGGTAAAAGTTAAGTAGACTGGGCTCAAGGTATGCATTATAATTAAAAACATGGACAGTTGGCTTTCAATTACTAGTTTTTTGGATAAATTGTTTCGCCCCTCACAAAACTTTAGTTTTTGCTCTTTTTTGTAAATGAAGGGTATTTGATTACGAATCATGAGTCAAGTTTATTTAGATTCTTTTTGTATATGTTTCTTAACTTATGTGGTACTTTGAAACATCCAAACCTTACACAGATTTTCTTGTAGACCTCAAAAAAGCCTTAATTCAAGAAATTTTTTAAGTACTGATTAATTAGCGCCTCAGATTTGTTTCTGTTTTTATCAAAACTAACTGTTAAAAAAAATTATTACAATAAGGCGCTCTAGCATCAGAGCAAGTGGAGCATGATTTAATCCATAATTCCCAAAAAATTAAGCAAAGTTTTAACACCTGAAACTCAAAAAGATAGCTGTGTAAAAAAAATTTACAATGCTCAGCAAAATACGATCAAAGTAGTAGCAATATTCAATAGTAATCCAATCATTAGATTAGACCTAAACTCTCCACAAAATTGGTATTGAAAAATTAGTTTTCAAAGTGTCTGCCAATAAGGCAAACCTTAAAATTCCTTCAATTGAGTTTCTTTCCAGTCAACTATAGATCAAACAAGACTACTTGTATCAGTTTGAATCTGCGAGTTATACGATTGCCTGTTTTTTACCGTGAAATGAAGTTTTTTGTGTCATATGATTTTTGTTTTACCACCTCGCTCACTCTAAACTATAAAATGTTACAAGGTTTAAGTTTTCTTCTATTGGAGCTAGTCACGGTCTCTTACCAGGCTTTTAACTGCTCATTAGCACGCATCCACTTCTTTTGATCCTGTAGTCTCTTAAGATTGTTGGGCAGTTTCTTCACCTTACTACCTGTTCACACAAAAGGAATTAAGCAGACAGAGGCTCAT